TCGTAAATGCCCCTTACATATTTTCAGCTTGTTGGAAGGTACGCAAGCCATTATGCCAGGTGACAGAGAAAAGAGAAGCACATGATGTCTTTTCCCGTAACCACTGACTGTCAAGCCTCTTTCCCAGGTTGTGAAGCCTTTGCTGCAAGAAAGAACAAGGAAAAAAGTGCAGGTATTGAGCGGTAATGGGCGAGATGAACTCCTAAAGGTAAACAAGCTGGATTATCTCTGCCTCGCTTGCTCCTGCTTAATGGGTTCTCAACGCACTAATCTTGGATGGGTGATCAATCAACCTGCAGATAATGGACATCTCGTCCCTCCCACATTTCTGCAAAAGGGAAGGGTCAGGATCATCTAAGAACAGCTCGGAGAAAAGCTCTGAGAGCTGCTATTCGTTGGACCATCCGTTCCATCAACAGCTCTACAACTACACCAAAGAGCAAGCGGCAAAGAGTGCACCAACAGGACCAATCAAGCAAGGATCTTTCCATGTCCGTGTTCCTGAGCCAGAGGCGGAAGTCAAAACCATAGAATCTGAGCTCCAGAAGTTTGAGAAGGGCATTCCCAGAGGACTCTCCGGGTGTCTGGATGCCCTCAAAATCAACGACTCGGATTAGACATGGAACGGTACATCTAGGAAGAATGCTTATAGAAATGGATGTATAATTTCCCACGCTGGCAGTTTTTCAAATTACCATAAGTAGTTACTGCCATCTGATATAGTAGTAATGCTTCAGACAGAGCATTTGCAAGGCTTTAGAATCAACAGCATTAAGCACGCAGTAAGCACCTTTCTTATGATGCTTTTTTCACCATTGTAATGAAGTACATATGAGGTTTTCCAGCCTTGAGCAGGCAACTTGGGCCAAGCTGAAATGGATTTCTAGTCCTTGTACTATGTTAGCTTAACAAATACGTCTATATATTATAATAATAATAATAATGTCATTTCTGGAACTAGTGGCAACTGGCAAGTGAGAGGCAAGAAGGCGGACTGATAGAGTAAGAGATGACGGATCTGGAAGTTGATGTTTAGGAGTTTTGTTTCAATTTCACCCCCACAGAAACCCGCTTCCTCGCCGCCTTGACCGCCGAAGCGCTTGCAGCGATTTCTTCTGGGCTTACGGCAATAGCGCAGCGTTGTCGAGTCTCCCAAGTTCACCCAATCGCAATTGCGATTTGCGTGCAGGAATCTTGGCGCAGTTCATGAAAAGAATCATTGCTGTGTTGTTTCCCCGTATTTTTTATGCGATCGTTCTGTGTAATTCTGGGTTTTCCCTGGAACTCAGAGCGGCAAGTTCAGCACCGGGTCAATATATCGCAAAAAAGTCAATAAAACGCCAAAATACCACGATATATTGTCGTATCGCGAGATCTCGGCAATTTCAATTTATCGCGTTTCGAATTTGATTTTGAGGACACGAAACGTTTCGCGTTTCGACCGTTTCTGACGCCCGTTTCTCCATTCTCGGGAGTTCCCAGTTTTCTCCGGACGTAGCCCAACCTCGCTTCCGAAACGCTGCCGCATTCCCGGTTCTTTGGGCCTTGATTAAATGGAACATAAGCTTGTTTGGGCCTTTATTACACGGAGGCCCAGTTTAGCCCGACCTTACTCTCACCTCCCTTCCAAAACGCTGCCGGTTATTATTCCCTTGGGCCTTCAAATAAATAAAGAAGAAGCTTTCCAGCCGTTTCGTGTTTCGATCTGATACCCGTTTCTTCATTTTGCACGGATTTCTGGTTTTCACTGATCGTAGGCCTTCCTCCTTCCAGAAACGCCACCGGATATCCAGTAATTTGTCTCGACGTCGGCAGCGGACGAAGAAGAGAAACTGACAGCTAAGACGCTAGTAAAAAAGGTATGTAAAAAAACGGAAATTGTTTTTATTAAAGAATTTTGCTTTGCTGGTTGCGAAACCGAGTTGCAGCTCGCTCTGGAACAAACTACACGCCTCCTCCTTCCTTCCTCTCCATTGCTTCGCCTTCGTTCTCTCCCCTTTTGCTGTTCCCTTTCAGTTTCCCCATTCATTCCCATCTGGTCATCTTCCCCTCCATTAAATTCTCCTTCCCTCCTCGCTTCTGTAGATTTTCTCGGGAAAATCCGCTCTCTGGTTGGTTCCCTCCAATTTCCCAAAGGCCGCCTTCTCTTCTCCCTCAGCTCGGGAATTCCCTCCTTCGTTACTTCCCTCCCCAATACCTGCCCGATTCATTTTACTCACACCTCGCTCCCTCTCTCTAGTTTCGATTCTCCCTCTCCTTCGTTTGAAGGATCTCTACTAGCTTTGTAAAGCTCACAAGAGGAGGAAGAAGAGATCCCAGAGTCTCAAGAAGATGTCGTACGCTTATCTCTTCAAGTACATCATCATCGGCGACACCGGTACCTAGCCCAACGGCCTCCCTTTTTTCTTTCTCCCGATTTGTTTTCAATTCTTTCTGCTTCGGCGGTGGACTCATGATCGACTTGCGGTGGGTTTTTCCTTTTTGAGCGTTGAATTGATTCAATTTTCTTTTTCTTTGTTTCTGTATATAGGAGTTGGGAAATCGTGTCTTCTTCTCCAGTTCACGGACAAGAGGTTCCAGCCGGTTCACGACCTCACCATTGGCGTCGAGTTCGGGGCGAGGATGATCACTATTGACAACAAGCCCATCAAACTCCAGATTTGGGACACGGTTCGTTTCTTCTTCGCTTGCTCTATGTGTGTGTGGTGTTTGATTCACTGTGAACTTGGATCCAACTTCTTGTTGAGCCTCTAGTGGTGACCACCATTGGGGAGTCTCTGTTCAGTATATTCTTAAAGTTTTCAATGGCATGCTTCAGTTGGATGTAACCCTGTCTCAAAGCTTACTGTGGTTGATCGAATCCCGCTTTTACCATTGCAGATTGCAAGTCAAACATGAGTCGTTTTAGGTCAAAATAAGATTCCATACGTGTATAATTGTTGGGTTAGTTACTTAATCATGGTTTACCCATGATCTGGCGACTTGCAATCCCTCTATTTCTCACTAGAAGACTGAACAATCTCAAAATGAAAACTGCACATAGTTTATTGCTGAATCGAATGTGTAGCATCATGTTAGCTTTGTTATTTTTCATATGTGGCATGATATCATAAATTTTCCCAAGTTCTTTGCTGATGTCTCTTCATCACATGAGACAGGCTGGTCAGGAATCCTTCAGATCGATCACTAGGTCTTATTACCGAGGAGCTGCTGGTGCTTTGCTTGTCTATGATATTACCAGGTAATATCAATATGAACCTTTGATAATCGTTATACACAATGATGCTGCTGCTGTTACTTTTGAGATATATATAAAAAAAAAACAGAGTTAATACCTCTTCAATGTTCTGGATGTTAACATAGACTAGGCCTCTTCGGGAAGTTTGTGTTTCCTCGTTTCTTTATGAACCCCCATCAGGAAGTTATTCCAGTATATGTTGTCTGGTTGTATGGGATTTCCAAGTCAGTTGCAACTTTACAGGAGGGAAACTTTTAATCATCTGGCGAGCTGGTTAGAGGATGCCAGGCAGCATGCAAATGCCAACATGACAATTATGCTCATCGGGAACAAGTGTGATCTTGCTCACAGAAGGGCCGTTAGCACCGAAGAGGGGGAGCAATTTGCTAAGGAGCATGGTCTCATATTCATGGAGGCCTCTGCTAAAACAGCTCAGAACGTTGAGGAGGTGGAGAAACAGCATTCTTTTTCTCTTCTTTTTTAGGAAGCATTAACATCTCGTTGAAATTGTTCAAATGTCTAATGGCGAGACATCTATGCGTAGGCTTTTATAAAGACAGCTGCCACCATATACAAGAAGATTCAAGATGGGGTGTTTGATGTGTCAAATGAGGTTAGTCTCTGCCAAGTTACTCAAATCTTGTTTGATTCTGCTTGGAAGGTGATCAGATCATATTCCTATCAGATGCAGCGTGAAATCGCTACACATTTGGGGGGTGGGGGGGTTGATAATGATAATTTACATTATTTGAACTGCTTTGCTTGCAGTCTTATGGCATAAAAGTTGGATATGGTGGAATTCCTGGACCAGGGGGACGAGATGGCTCGACTTCACAAACTGGCGGCTGTTGCAGTTAGAAAAATTGGACCCCTCTCCATCATCTTTGGGGAAAATTTGTCAAGAAAGTCATTTCCTCTGTAGTGGTGAAACTGCTTCAAACATTGTGTGAAGATTTGGAATATAACATACGTATGTACAACCCCTACCCTTCCTTTTCCTTGCTGGTTGACTGTAAATTCGTGTTGGAACTTGGAATCGTTTAGTTTATGCCTTTCTTGTGTCAGCTCTCTATGTGGGGCTTGTAAGAATTCTTTTGTGAATTGTTGTGGGAGTGGTTATAGGAATTGAGATGGAATTTCCAAATGAATTTTATAAGTATTTTTATTAATTATAATAGAATGATATGATTATCTTTAGGGTTAATACAATATATTAGTCACAACTATTATGAAGCGGGGAATTATAGCCACAACTATGAAAATTCAAATTATTAGCCATAACTAATGTTGCAGGTCAAGAATTTTATTTCAATAACCTCTGTCATCTTTTCACAATATAAATATTTATTTGTTTTTTTAATAAGTGCATAATAAATATAATTAAAACTAATTATATCCAAATAATTCATTCATAGATAAAAAAATAATTGATTAATACAATCATTGTTTTCATAAACAACCACGACAGGATTTACATATTGTGAGAAAAACGCAAAAATATTCATCTTCTACACTCTTAAGTAAGTCTATTTCAATGTATTCTATTAAAGTATCATTAGCAAATTGGTAGTCAATCGACTTCAAAACTTGCTATTAATATAACTCAAAGATGAAAAATGCTTCTTCTACCCTTGCAACTACAATTGGTAGAATCAAAACTAGTTGAATTTTCGTTGTTGCTGGATGATTTCAGGGTTATTGCCTTTTGGGGACAAAGTCGAATAAACATAAGGAGAAAAGACATCCAATTAGGTCTTTAATGCAATTGGAATTCCGTTTATAGTATAATAAATTAGCTATATATCAATTTGTGAACAAGTAATGACTTGTGTTGTAGTGACAAATTACTCTCATACCACTAATATACGTGTTGTGTTTCATTATCAATAAATATAAATATATATGACATAATTTTTTCTCCGAAATTTACCCTGTCCCATAACAAGGGCTAATACCCCTGCCTCCGCCTATGATTCGGCCCTGCTTCAATTTTTTTATACCGAAAAACACTTATAAAAGTCGGACCAAACTTAGGTCACACAATTCGTGTGAATGGGGGTGGACGCTCTCGCTTTAGAGCACAAAAACACGATTTAGAATGTATTCGCAAAAAATTCGCGATTTATTGCCTACTGGAGCGCGATTTTCGCTAGGGAGTTTGCGAATCAATTTCAAAGGAACAAAGCGGAAGAGACGAAGAGTAACTGTAGTCGGTGATGACTGTCGATCTGTCATCTGTAAAGGAGATAGAATTGCCTGCCGGATTGATGGAGGAAGCCAGAAAGACTGAAAGATGTCGGATATGTATTTGAAAGAGATTTTGTTGATCAGGGAGATCTGGAACTGCAGGGGAGACTTTTGGTCGGCAGCCGATGAGGTATCGCAGTTCAATTCACACACAAGCTGAGTGGGAATCACCATCAGATCTTGTTTGAACTTTGAAGGGATTGGAAGGTTGTATGAAGAAGGGGAATTTGTCGATGAGAAGAAGGGATTGAGAGAGGAGGATGTTGTTGGCATGAGGAAGAAGAAAGCAGGGACCGAGTCGGGCACTCGGCAACTGCTCGTTTAGGGCTTTGAGTTTTAACTGCAGTCAATTTTGGGCTCATTAGTTGGGCTATTCAAAGTTTCTATCACCGCAAGTATATTGGGCTATTCAAGCTCTATTGTGGGTTGTATTTGTGTTGTACCTGTACTGTTGTTGTGTATATTAAGTAGGAAAATTTAGATTTTTTGTTCTTAATTTTTATTTGGCTTCACCTTTTAGTTTTAGGTAATTAAAGATATTGAAGTAGAAGTAGTCTCATTTTCTTTTGAAGTGGGAGTGTTAGTCTCAAAATATAGTATTATTTTGGTTTAATATATTTATATATCCAAAACTTTCATGGTTGTATCAATAATATATAAATTTCCCGAAATACCACTTATATCCATGTTTTAAAGTTTTTCTTTGTCAAATCTATCCATTTCCCAATATATTTTTGGTTAAATACACTTGTATATCCAAAAACACCGTTAAAGAAAGTCAAGGAATTGGATATAAGTGGTATTTCGGAAAATTTAGATATTATTGACACAACCGTGAAAGTTTTGAATACACAAGTGTATTTAACCTATTATTTTAAATAATATTTTAATTAAAATAATATAATATTAACACTTTTTTTTTGGCATAGATAGATTAATAAAATAGTCAGAGAACTGTACACAACCAAACGCGCCAGTCGACAAGTAGTCGAACTGCCGATGAAAGGGCCTTTTGTGCCACTAAATGGACAGCCCTGTTGTACCTGCGAGGAGTAAAAGTACAAGAAAACACCGAAAAGGAAGACACCGCCACCCGAATCTCCTCCATAATTGCACCACCCCGTCCGTGTGCAACATCTCTCTCCCGTACGGCCCGGATCAACATTTGGCAGTCCCCGCAAAAATTCACCACAGGAAAACCATGCATTAGACACCAGCTTATTGTGTCACGTAATGCCAACAGTTCCATGATAAAAGGGTCATCAATACCTGTGTAATGTTTCCCTAGAGCAAACATTAGGCTTCCATTAGCTGAGAAACCAGCAAAGCCCGATTCCGCCCCCTGATCCTTGCCGCCAAGCCCCATCAAAACGCACTAGAACTCCCCTATCAGGACACAAACCATCACGTCCAGATCGCGAGGCCGGTACTTGTCGCCCTTGACCCCGCGGGCCCTGGTGCAGCGTAAGCGGAGATGTCGCAGCCCGCCATTCCTCCACTTGTGCTTGGAATTGACGCAGTAATGTTGGTCCTCTATATTGAATAAATTTGTGTATCGCCCAAAACCTCGATTTCCAAACTCGCCAGCATAAGAAAACAACATTAGCAACATCAGTCTTAGAAAGACGGCATTCAAAGAAAAGAGTCTTCCAACAATCCGCATGGGAAAGAGAAGATAACCTGGCACGACGGAGGCCAAAGCCAGCAAGTTCCCATAGCTCCACTGCTACACGACAATGAAGGAACGAATGAAGGATGCTTTCAATCCCATTAGAGCAAATTGGACAAACATTATCATCAACCAGCCGCTTGTAGTGAAGCACCGCACGAACTGGTAGAAATCCCCGTGCCACCCTCCAGCAGAAGACCCTCAATTTCGGCGGCACCGGCAGCTGCCACAGGAACTTCCAGAATCGTTTATCATATGGTAAGTCGCGAGGCGGATGGGTCCTGTTCAGCTCCGAGGATAGGAGTTGGTACCCCGTCTTAACCGTGTATTCCCCTGAAACAGAATAATGCCACACCAATTTATCCGGAATAAGCTGGTTGGGCAAAGGAATAGATAAGATCAGCTCTACTGACTCCACTGTGAATAGATCCTGCAAGACAGCCACTTTCCAAGAGTGGGATTGGGGGCAAATTAATTCTGAAACAAAAGTGTATGACATGGAAGCAGTAGGAAGCAGAGAAGGTGATGAAGGAGGGGAAGAGGGCAGCCACTTATCTGTGAGGATGCGCACGACAGCACCATTACCAATGCGCCATCGGAGACCACGAGCCAATAAATCTCGCCCCTCAAGTATGCCTTGCCACGCCCAAGAAGCACGAGAGCCGACTTCAGATGTGAGTATGGATGTAGAAGGATGATACCGGGCCTTGTATAGGACTGCAATTGGAGAGTCTGGCATTTGGAGTAATCGCCATGCCTGTTTTGCCAAAAGTGCAATGTTAAAGCGATCAAAATCCCGAAAACCTAACCCACCTTCAAACTTACTGTGACACACTTCGGGCCAAGATAGCCAATGTATGCCCTTCTCTTTGTCTTGATTAGCCCACCAAAATCGTGATAATTGGCTGTTCATTCTTCGGCAGGATGTGGCCGGAATGCGGAAGGCAGACATGGCATAGATTGTGGAGGCAGATCCGACGGATTTGATCACAGTTTCCTTTGCTGCCAATGACATCGATTTCGACTTCCAAGATCGAATTCTGGCCGCCAATCCGTCTTCCAAGAATCGAAAAGTCCTGGTCTTGGACCGTTGTACCTGAACAGGTAAGCCTAAGTACTTGTCCTGCAAACCCACTTCCTTCACTCCAAGATAATTGGCCAAACTCTCCTTCTCGTGGTCCTCAACATTTGCACTTGTACAGATGGTGGACTTCTGCAGGTTCACTTGCTGCCCACTTGTGAGACCATACTCCTCAAACACATGTAGAAGATGGGCACATTCGGGAACAGACGCACGAATAAACAGGTAAGTGTCATCAGCAAACATAAGGTGAGAAGTAATGGGGGCCCGTCGGTGAATTCGTAGTCCATGCAGGTTGTTAGAATAAATATCTTGATTAATTTTTGCCGTGAAAGCCTCTGTATATAAAGCAAATAGCAGAGGGGAGAGAGGGTCACCTTGTCAGATGCCACGTTCCGGTTTGAAATACCCATACGTTCCACCGTTGATGTTACTGAGAAGCTGACTGTGGAAATACATGTTCGGATCCACTTGATCCAAGTTGAGCAGAATCCCAATTCCTGCAAAATAGAAAGGAGAAAGGACCATTCGACCCGGTCGTATGCCTTCTCCATATCAAGTTTCAGTGCCATCCACTTATCCCCCCCTGCACTTTGGTTTTTAAAAAGTGCATGACCTTTTGACCAATCAAAATATTGTCAGTAATACAACGACCACGCACGAAACCATTTTGATTCAGACTTACTATATCAGGCATGACACGACTAAGCCGACAAGCAAGTATTTTCGCGATAATCTTGTAAAAGACCTGACATAAACTGATCGGCCGTAATTGCCTCATCGTGTATGCATTGGGAACTTTGGGGAGAAGGGTGATGCACGTGTGATTGAAGCTATGCAGGAGCCGACCTGACGCAAAGAACGATAACACAGCTGCACTAATATCCTTTCCAATAATGTCCCAATGAGCTTGGAAAAATCCTGCAGAAAATCAATCAGAGCCCGGCGCCTGGAACCGGCCAATGCTAAACATTGCAAGTTTAATCTCGTCTAATGTGACTGGTGCAGTTAGAGAAGCATTCATGTCAAAGGTTACTTTCCTAGGCAGTCGTAGACTCTGTACAAAAGGTGTAGGATCGATGTGATTGGATGTAAAGAGTATTTGAAAGTATGGAATTGAGATACCTGCCATCTCATCCATTGAGTGATGAAGAACGCCCATGTCATCTCAGAGACCCTCCATCCGATTATTCCTCCGCCGCTGAAGGACGGCCAAATGGAACAACCGGGTGTTTGAGTCCCCGCCTTGTAGCCAGCCAACTCTTGATTTCTGCAGCCAAAATAACTCTTCCTGTCTATATGCCTCGGACAATTGGTTTTCCAGTTGCTTAATGTGCTCCCAGTCCACCATTTCGGCCTCCCGGGCTGCTTCAATAGCCTGTTTGTATTCGCGGATCGAGCGGGCAGAATTAGATGTACCGACACGCGCCCAGTCGACCAGCTCATGTCGGACGGACTTCAGCTGGTTGAATGCACGGAATTGAAGTGTGCCATGTACGACTTTGCCCCAAGCCTGCCTGATGATCTCTACCGCCTCGTGATTCGTATCTCATCGCCCGTCGTAGTGAAAACGAGTTTTGGTGGGCTGGTTTTGAGATGAGAGCTGCAACAATAGCATCCGATGATCAGAACCCAAGTCAGTAAGGTGGATTACCTTGAGTTCAGGCCAGGATGAAAGGGCAGATACAGATCCCAGGCACCGATCTAATCATTCCATGATGTGCGCCGAAGCTGACCGCCTATTAGACCATGTGAATGGTGATCCATGGTAGCCTACATCCACCAGCCCTGTTGCATTAACAAACATATTTAATTGATCCAATTCCTCAACCGAGGGAATGTTACCTCCACGCTTTTCCGTTAGAGATAGGAGACAATTGAAGTCACCCAGCACAAACACTGGGATAGAGAACGACAAAACAAAAGCTGCAATTTCATTAAGTTGATCCTGCCTGGTAGCAACATCACAAGATAAATGCACAAATAATAAAGCAAAAGACCCTACACCTACAACTGTACATTCAAGAACACTAAGAAATCCTGAAAGGTAATGCACTGTACATGAGGTACTAGATGACCAGGCTACAGCCAAATCCCCCTTCCACTAGCAGAATGATGACATCGACAGTTATGATACCCCAAGTGGCCAATCTGCCTTGCACATACTCCTCATCACGTCTGGTTTCACTGAGCAGGATAACATGAGGGTGAAATCGACCGGTGGCTCCACCAAGAGTTGGAATTGTCAAGGAGGAGCCGATTCCTCGACAATTCCAAGCGAGAATACTCATGGATTACCGTGGGACCAGTCGGGGCTGGTTGCCTCCACCCTTGAGTTTGTGTCCAGAGCCGGAACGTTATGCTTGATCCTCTTCGCTGCAGGCGGTGAGGAAATGGCAACATCCTCATCTATCATCCCTTCCTCCACTTTAGTGGTTTCCAGATGTGTAGCAGCCGCAAAAGATGGTTCACCATTCAAGGATAACAGTTGCATCCTCTCCCCTACCTGGACAGGCCGAGGTCTACGCGTATCCTCCCAGTTGGAGCCCAACCGAGCCCCCATTTGCGCCACCAACACCCCGCTAGTAGCCTGAGGACGCGGAGTCTTAAACCCGCCAGCCGGCCTGAACGACGGAGGTTTTTGCGACATCGCCCGCAGCCAAGTTAATCGCTTCTTACGTCGCGACAGCATGTCCTCTGTAATCTCAGGCCCCGATTCCTCTGACACCATGAACCGCCCATAGCGAGGTGGATCCTCCTCTAGATCGGCCTTGCGCGGGCAATTGGCGCCAATATGCCCTATGATTCCACAGAAGTAACAAAAGACAGGCAATCGTTCATACTTAATCTTGACAATGAAATTACCTTTGCCCGCAGTAACATGTCCAACCTCAATCTCAACTGGAAGTGGAGCCGCCAAATCAAGAACCGGTTCGGCTCTAAAGTAGAGTCCACCAGATACATCAGAGCGGTGAAGGGTTGGGGTAGTTGTCTCCCCTAGCGCAGACCCTAACCGTTGTGCAAGTTTAGCGGTGAAGCACTCGAATGGCACCCCCCACATCTGGACCTCTAGCGGTTCCCAAAGCAACGATGCTGCAACTGCCGGCGAGGGAGGAACCCACGAGCGTACAACAAGCATGTACTTGGGTAAAATTCATGGAGACCCCTTTTCGACCTTCCGCAGGTCCGATTGCGGGGAGAAAATGATGTGGGTCAGACCCAACTCCAACGGAGAAATGGTGAATTTGCCGTCGGGCCGCCAGACGCGGGTGAGGGTTGTCTTGATCGTATGCAACGCCGGTGGCAGCCCCACCAGTCTCCCGATCAGCGAGTGTTCTTCCCTATCCGCGCCAGGGTGCGGCTAACTCCCCATGAGGTAGCTGTATGATTTTCCAGGGTAAAAGCACCCCAGACACGCGCTGGCTTGCTTATACGTGCTAGTTGGTACCGCTATGTCGGCATCATCGAAGTGAACAACCACCGCCATCGTAGGTGTGTGCAAGAGTGAAGAACCTACCGCCCAATACAGAGTATAGGATGCAATTGGGAAAGAATACCTCCCATACCCGAGAGATTTAAAGGCCATCCCAGCCCGCAAGGCTAGGCCCTGGCACGACGGCGATTTGCCCGTACCGGCCGCTGCGCACGAAGGCGGTAACCCCCACTTTCGCTTGACAAAGCGCACGATGGAAGAGAGAGGGGAGAGGAACTGTTCTTTTTTTTTTCTTTTTCTCTCAACACGTCCTAGCCGGCTAAGGACTCGATTTTCCTTCCCTAAACATACTTCTTCCCCACGTATATTAACACTTTATTGACAGTCTGAATTTCTAATTTTTTAAGAATAGCACTCTCACGCTCTCGCTCCACGCATCAGTAAGCTAAGGCCAAACATAGACAATATCTATTTGATGTTCATGCAGTAAAGTGACTAAGTTTAGTGACCATTTCTGTAATTGATCCGTTCCGCGCCGGGAATGGTCGCAGTCTTGCAGACTCGGTTCCTCTTTCTCTCTGCTAGGTTTCTGTTTACCGCTCTCTCTCTCTCACACACACACACACACACACACACTCTCTCCCTCCATCTTTTCTCATCTTCCCAATTTCTTTCTCCTTATTTCTTCAGAAAAGCCCCTTCCTCCCGCCTGGTTCGTCTCCTTCTTTCACTCCTCCCAGCTTCCGTGTGAGAACGAGCCGGACTCGGATTTGGGGAGCCGGGACTCGGTAAGTCTATCAATCGTTCTCCTCCTTTCTGATCCGCGGAACTTCCCATATCTCCCAAAAAAACCTCACGACCTTCTTCTCTCTCTCAGATCGCTCTCTCCCTTCTGCCGATCCGAATCTCGATTCCAGATTCACTCGGCCTTCGCCATCGCTCGCTTGCCGGGAAACCCTCGCTCACTTTGCTTCAATGGCTTCCGCGCCTGCTGCCAATCCGAATCAACCCGGCGCCGGCGGAGTAGGTGGCGGAGGATTGGGTAGTGGAGGCAGCGGCGGGTTTGACATCAACAAGTTGTTCTCGCCGCATACTATGAACATGAACGTCATAGCCCCACCGCCATCGCCTCAGCTTTTACAGAGTGGACTAAGCGGCGGAGCTGGGGCAGCTGTTTCTGCCGCCGGAGGAGGAGGCGGTGTCAATTTTTCGAGTTCGCCATCTTTCCCTCTCCCGGCTTCGTCTCCTCCGTTTAGTATGACGCCGTCGTCTTCTTATCCGCCTCCCACTGGTCCCTACCATCCTTACCAGCATCATCAGTACGCGCCGTACCCGCCTCCTCAACCGACTCAGATTCAGCAGCCCCACCAGAATCACTTCCTCCCTAACCTTCAGCAGCAGCAGCAGCAGCAGCAGCAGCAGCAGCTTGTGAACAGGCCTCATCAGCCCATCTCTTCGTCGTACCCGTCTCCGGCCTCCGCTGCTGCTCCGACGCCGCCGTTCTCCCCAGGCAGCACTCCGAATCCCGGCGGTGCTGTGTTGATGGATATGTTGAACGGCCAAAACCAACAGCCCACGCCTTCTTCCAGTCTCACTCTGCCCTTCTCTTCAGCTGCCGGGGCGTCCATCCCGTCAGCCCCTCCTGTGAGTCTAGCTTCCCCAAATCAGCAGCAGGGCCCTTCCCCCGTGAGGTTGCTCAGCACCAAGCTGCCCAAGGGTCGCCATTTGATTGGGGATCGTGTTGTATATGATATTGATGTGAGGATGCAAGGTGAGGTGCAGCCTCAGCTTGAAGTTACTCCCATCACTAAGTATGTTTCGGATCCTGGGCTCGTGCTTGGCCGGCAGATTGCTGTTAACAGGAACTACATTTGTTATGGTCTCAAGCCTGGTGCAATACGCATCCTCAACATCAATACTGCATTGAGATCCTTGCTAAGGGGGCATAACCAGGTAATTTCTCCTCCTCTAGAATCTGTCGCTGATCTGATCCTTCCTATTGCTAGCTCGTGCAACATTTGTTCTTTCTATAATTGTGCCTCCTTTCCATTGGCTGATATAGCTTCGCTTAGATTTTAATGTCCACTAGCTTGATAGCAACTACTATTTCCCTTTATCATGTCGTTATCCCATCTGTTTTCGTTGTGTCTTATGCCTGGATTCACAGTTAGTATCATCCATACTAGAATCTTTATCATAGTGTATGGCGGACTCCAACTGTGCTAACATGTTGAAGCTTGCCTTGGAATATGTTTAAGTCGTCCTAAGAAATTCAAATGGTAGTTATTCAGTTGACTTGTTTAAGGTGCTTTACAGTTGAGAGGAGGACCTTTTGCTCTAATTATTAATGTTGGAACTCTTCCCATGGTCGTATTAGAGTGTAATTTACTCTTTTGGTATTCTATGGAGTTATTGCCTCTTATTGGATGATGCAAGTGTATTGCGTATACCTAACTGATTCTTTGGTTGAAAAACCCTTCACTCCTACATCATGAGTTCATTTTGGCGCGAGCTTCTACAGCCGTAATATATCTACGTTCTTAATGAGCACATTACTGTTTCTTGGGGATAAACTTCATGTTGAATGCTGAACTGATGGGGGTTTTCACTGTAGTATCTTAGTGGCAATGAGCTATGTACATATCTTTGTCATATTTGATCTCTATACCCCAGGTTTCCAGCACCACGTTCTGTTTTCTGTGTTTATTCTTTAATAATTTATATGCTTTTTTCATTGTGCAGAAAGTGACAGACATGGCTTTCTTTGCTGAAGATGTTCACTTACTTGCCAGGTAACCTCCTGCATTGTGACTTTTCCATCTCCACCACTTTAGTTTAAGTACTAACTTCCATGCCTTCAGTGCATGTGTTGAGGGTCGGGTTTTTGTGAGGAAGATCAATGAGGGTTCTGATGAAGAAGAAAAGCCTCAAATATTTGAACAGATTATCCTTGCACTTCAAATACTAGTTGATGGAGAACCAGTCCATCCGCGCGTCTGTTGGCATCCTCACAAACAAGTAATGTTGTATTAGCTGCCGAGGAAGTTGTTTTTATGTTGCTCATTGTATCAGTATGCTTAGATAGTTCTGTATAACACCTGACAAGAAGACCTTGTTTATTTTCATTTACAGGAAATTGTGATGGTTGCAATTCGAAATTGTGTACTGAAAATTGATACTCTTAGAGTTGGTAAAGGCGAAAGGTTTTCAGCAGAGAAGCCTCTTAGCTGTTCCATAGATAAGCTGATAGATGGTGTGCAATTTGTTGGTAAACATGATGGCGAAGTTACCGAATTATCAATGTCTCAGTGGATGATTACCCGTCTAGCTTCAGCTTCGTCTGATGGAACGGTCTGTATTTTTATTTTGTTCCTTGCTTTGATATTACTTGGAACTTCCTGTAATGCCTCACAGTTTTCAGTTGGTAAACAAGGTTCACATTTTTACTTTCTGCTGCTGATATATTTATGCTGGGAAAACTTGGTGACAGATTCTCTGCATGGCTGTCATTCTTATGTTGGATTTGACACGTGGCTGTTGGTTAATGTTTTCTTGCTTTTGTTGATACATTGGAACATCCACTCTTTTATCTTTTTGTCAATCCTCGGCTTTAATCATATTTGAAGCTGTGTAATCTCCTAAAGAAATATCATCATTTGCTTGTTTGTGTTGACTGTTGACTGAGATCATCAACATACAGTTCTTATATGCTCTTGCTCATTGATTCATATTGTGGCAGGTTAAAATTTGGGATGATCGCAGGGTGACGCCACTTGCAGTTTTGAGACCGCATGATGGAAGTCCTGTAAATTCTGTGGCATTCTTGACTGGCCCTCACCGACCAGATCATATCATCCTCGTAACTGGGGTATTCCCTATTTTATCTTTGATTTTGTATTTTCATACTGTACTTCTCAAAATATAGAATGATTTATTGATATTCTTGCTTCTGGTAGTGAGAAACAAGCGCCAGAAGCATGTAGTGCGGAGTTCAATTATATATATATTCTGTCTTGCATGTTTTTCCATATAAATAATTCCTGCTCTAATGCAGGATATTTAAAATAGTCTTGCCGTATTTGCAGGGTCCACTCAACAAGGAAATGCGGGTATGGTCTTGCTCAAGTGAGAATGGATGGTTGTTACCCAGTGATTCTGAATCGTGGAATTGTACTCAAACGCTGACTTTAACTTCAGCTGGGTCTAATGTGAAGGATGCATTCTTCAACCAAGCTGTGGCTTTGCCTCGGGCTGGTTTGTTTCTATTGGCAAACGCGAAGAAAAATGCAATTTATGCTGTTCACCTTGAGTATGGGTTATGTCCGGCTGAAACTCGCATGGATTACATAGCTGAGTTTACAGTTACAATGCCCATATTGAGTTTTACTGGAACTAGTGACAGTTTGCCAAATGGAGAACACATAGTGCAAGTGTATTGTGTGCAGACACAAGCTATCCAGCAGTATGCACTGGACTTGTTGCAGTGTCTGCCACCTCCCATAGAAAATGCTGAATTGGAGAAAGCAGAATCTACTGCCTCTCGTGCTCTTGATGCTGTGTCTGGTGTAATCGAATCGTCTGATGGTTATAAACCCATCGAGATACCTGCAGGCAGCAAAACTTCTGCACCACCTTCATATGCGAGTGTTGTGGTGAGTGCTTCAATTGCATCTCACCCTGAAAACTTGGGACCTCATGAGGATGCCAACTTGCCTCCGATGCCTTCTCCGGGTGTTGATATCAAGACTACCAATACGGTCCATAGTAATTTGGAAAATATTAGCATCTTGACACCACCACCTCCTTCAAGTCCTCGGTTATCTTCCAAATTGTCTGGTCTTGAGAACCCACCAAATAACACAGATACCAGCTTACCTATCACGGGTCGTGGTGATGAACATCCCATGGCAGATTATTTGCTTAGCCATAGACCAGATGTGCAGAAGGATAATGAGCCTGAGAACCCTCTCTTGAATGAAAATGTGAGGAAGGGCGAGAAAAGCATTGCACAAACTGATATTGGAATGGTGGCGGAGCATCCAACAGTGTTTAAGCACCCTACACATTTAGTGACTCCATCAGAGATATTGTCGAGGGCTCCATCTACAGACATTTCCCTTGTTTCTCAGGGAATGTCAACCGATGACCCTGAGGTGCAGGATGTGATTGTCAACAATGATACAGAAAGTGTTGAAGTTGTAGATGTAAAGGTAGTTGAGATGGGAACCAAGCAAAATAGTGGATTTGACATGAGTAGAGAATCCCATATTAGTGTCCCTGAAAAAAAGGAAAAGTCTTTCTACTCTCAGGCTTCTGATCTTAGCCATCAAATACCCAGGGATAGTGTCTCTGAATCATATACTACAGCGGCTGCTGAGCAAGCTAATGAGGATATTGTGACCAAGTTACCTGACAGACCTGTGAACAATGCTGAAGATAGCGAGCACGACGCGACACAGAAAGTTAGCGAATCAGAAACTTCCCAAACAGTTCCACAGTCCCCAGCCTCAGCAGCAAAAAGTAAAAAGCAGAAGGGGAAAAATTCTCACGCAACTGCACCGCCTTCAGCATCGCCAAGTCCGCTCAATTCTGGTGATTCGTCCAATGAACCAGGCTGCAGTTCTGCTCCTCAAGTCCGTGATGCTGATATCTCCCAGCTAGCAGCCATGCATGATAAACTCGAACAGGTATTTTGAACAGGAGTCAGTACCCATCTTATTTTCCATTTGGACTGCATATTTGACTTATCCTTTCTCAATAATGTTTAGCATTGCTTCCCATGCATCTTCTGCCACATTCCATGCGCAACTGTTTGGAACAACCTTTTGAGATGGTTCATTAACGACGAGATTTAGTATAATTTTTTGCATGTCCTCATAAATTTCGAGTCGGTGAAAGTTCTCCTTCCCCCTTTATTTGTCTGGGTTCTGTTGTTGGTCGGTGGGTCAAAGCTGCATGAGATTTGTTCTGATCAGATAAGCGAAGGAGTTGGTGATAGAGTGTATTTAAACGTCTAGTAGACTGTCGTACCACATGCATAAAGAAAGTAAGATGAAGCTAGGAAAGAAGTCCCGGTAATGAATACAATCATCGTTGGAAACTCGTAATACTTGCAGATTTCTTGAATTTGTGCTACTTTATATCATTATTTCTGAGCAGGGATACTGTATGTATTTAATTGTCGAGTCAATCCTTAATTGCTTTCATTCTATTTCTCAGGATGCGTCTTCTCTTCATATCTTGCATCCTTAGGAGTGTGGCAATTAGTTGTGTTTGTTTGGACAGTTGATGATGAACATGTAGAAAAGCATTCAGATCCTTACTGTGGAAAATCAATGATGTTTCGGTTGTTTTGACAGTTGATGAATATGCAGAAAGAGATGCAAAAACAGATGAATACAGTAATTTCAGTCCCTGTTTCAAAGGAAGGTAAAAGACTGGAGGCATCCTTTGGACGGAGTGTAGAAAAAGTTGTAAAAGCTAATACAGATGCTCTGTGGGCTCGGTTCCAAGAAGAGAATGCGAAACGCGAGAAGTTAGACCGAGAACGGTACCAGCAAATGACAAATTTGCTTGCAAATTTTATGAACAAGGATTTCCCATCTGCTTTGGAGAAGGTTCTGAAGAAGGAGTTGGCTGGTGTTGGACCTGCTGTAGCTCGTGCGATTACTCCTGTTCTTGAGAAGATCATATCGTCAACTCTTGCAGAGTCATTCCAGGTTAGTTAAGTGTTGAAGTTGTTCTTGGTCTATGTCTTCAGTCTGTGCTTGGGAATAATGGGACTGAGGCAATCGTCGTATCTATGTATATCACTTGTGCATTTGCATTGGCTAATATTCACCTAGGTTTACTATACATTTTAATAGTTAGGGCATGTCTTCGAGTGGAAGTTTGCATATAGGTTATTAGATTTATTTGCTTCTGTAATTTTGTGGACCGTCTTAAATCTCTTCATATACTAGCTGTTAGCCTGAAGGCTTTTGTTTGAACTGTAAGAGTGAATCAAATTAATTGGTAGATTATGGTAGTTGGTGTATTCAATGTTTTTTCACTGATGCTGCTTGTGTGTTATTATCTATGATTTGGAGTCTAGAGCTTCAACGATACAGTTCTCAGAATGTACTTACGGTATGGTGCATGTGGCTAATCAACAGAAGATACTCTATAAGGAATTATAATCATTTTATTCTTGTTGGATTATCTCAGCAGACAAGGAGGATATGAGCTGTTCTGCTCTGCAATTCCTGAGCTTTGTTAATTTGTGTTCCTACTTTGCAGAAAGGGGTTGGAGAGAAGGCTGTGGGCCAACTGGATAGGTCTGTTAGTACAAAAATGGAAGCGATGGTAGCAAGGCAAATCCAGTCACAGTTTCAAACTTCTGGCAAGCAGGCACTGCAGGTATTGTTGTTTCTCCATTGATCCCGTCTTTTGTTTCCATCTTAGTTAGGATCCCTGTTTGTTTGATTAAAAAACTTGTATATGCTTACTTCATGGGACCAAACTGTTTTGCAGGAGTCACTGAGATCTAGCCTGGAAGCTTCAGTAATTCCTGCATTTGAAATGGCTTGCAAAGCTATGTTCGATCAAGTTGATGCTACATTTCAGAAAGGACTTTCCAGTCATATCAATGCTGCTCAGCACCAGTTTGATTCAGCACATTCTTCTCTAGCAATCACTCTTAGGGTATGTTCATCTCTCAAGCTATTTTAGTATACAAGATGCATCCAAGTTTATTTACTTGCCGTTAACTCAGGATGAGGTTGTTTTGGACAAGTGTAGGAAGCTATCAATTCAGCATCTTCAATCACAAAAACGTTAAGCGGAGAGCTGGCTGATGGTCAACGCAAGCTCTTAGCTATTGCCAACTCCAAAGCTATTCAGCCGTCTGCTTTGACTAATGGACCGATGTCAAGTTTGCATGAGATGGTATGCCTTTTACTCCTTGATGTTTGTCTAGTTGCTTTAGGTGAAACTTTTAGTAATCCTCTTGCCACTACTGTTGCTCTGTTCAGTTAGATTTGTGTAGTTTATGACTGGTTTTAATTTGGTATATATGCATTTATATTAGCAGTCCGAGGCACCATTAGATCCTACGAAAGAACTATCTAGATTGATTGCTGAGGGCAAGTATGACGATGCATTTCATAAAGCTCTTCATAGAAGCGACGTGTCTATAGTATCCTGGCTATGCTCACAGGTACCAATGCTATTAAAATATTAGTTGTGAAGTTGTTGATCTGAAGTTGGTTGGCTAATTGTTTCTGGAATATCTCTGACCAGGTTGATTTGAAGGCGATATTGTCAATGTCACCACTACCTTTAAGCCAAGGAGTAATCCTGGCACTGCTTCAACAATTGGCGTGTGATATCATCAATGAGACCACAAAGAAGGTGTCGTGGATGGCTGATGTGGCGGTGGCCATCAACCCTGCAGATCCAATGATCTCGGTGCACGTGAGACCCATCTTCGAGCAGGTGTATCAGATACTGAATCATCACAGGAATCTACCCACAAGTTCTTCAGGGGATGCATCCAACATTCGGCTCCTCATGTATGTCGTTAACTCTGTGCTGATGAACTGTAAATGAAAGAATGAGGGAAATGGACGATGATCAGTCGGATCTTTTTGATCTTTGGTTAGTCTTTTGGTTTACGTTTTAAGTGGATTGTTCGGAGCTTCCATTGCTACTTTGTTCTGTGCAGGGGAAGAAAGTATGTAAGAAATAGAAGAGGAAGTTTTGGGGTGTGCATAGGAATATGAATATATGAAGTTTTCTAAAGTTTTCAGGCGATCAGAGATTTCTCATCCATTACGATTTTGCTTCAGTTTTAGCTGTTATGTATTCTTTGACTGTCCCTTAAGTTTCTATTGCTGTTTGGCTCGGACTACACCGAACTGAACTAGTCCTTAATCTCATGAATTTTATAAATACTGAAAAAATGGACCAAAATAACACTTCGACCGGATCAAAGTGAGTTGTATGCATTGTTGGTTTAGTCCTTGATAAAAAAAATCGTGTATAAAAAATCGTCCAAATCTATGATTGAATTCCTATCAATATAGGTCAAGAATAGCCGATAAAAAATCAGTTAGAAACTGTTAAGAATTGTCTTCAAAATTGGCCAAGAATAATCGATAAAATATAGGACAAAATATGTAATGAATAGATTTCAAAATCAGCCAAGACAACCGATAACAAATTGAACAAAGATTTACATATAACAAACTAGTCAAAATATGTGATGAATATCTTTTAAAAACAACCATAATATGAGTAGAACTAGCTTTATCATGGTCGGGAGAGCTTTGTTTTATCATTTTTTAACTATGTTTAAAATTATCTTAAATCTTCTCAAATTATTATTGCAATTCCTTATGCAAAAAAATCTTTGGTGATTCTCTTTATGACCGCCAGACTTGCATCAGTATTTTGTGGGTAATTAGCAGAAACGGTCACACAACTTATCACTTAGTACAAAACGGTCACTAAACTTTATTTTTGCACGTTTCAGTCACATACCTTTGGACGAATATCAAAACGGCCAATCCGTCCAATTCCATCCAAAAAATCGTCAATTAAGTCCAGTCAGCTTAACACGTCATCCCAAAAAATAATAAAAAAATAGATGAATTAGACCCACTTAACCAGCAGACCCAACCCAACCCGCCCGCCCAACCCACTCATCCGTCAAAATGGGGACGACTGACGAGCGCCAGCGAAGAACAAAAATCCCAGCAGTCGCTCTCTTTCGGCGGGAGAAAGGGCAATCCTCTCCCCTGCTCGTCGCTTGAGATCTCTCGATTTCCTTATGCTTTCTACATGTGTGTTTGTAACGTGGATTTGGTGCAAGAAAGAAACAATCAATTAAAAGCTTTTCCCTTGTTTATTTATCAATTTCATTCCCCTGCTACAACTCTCTGCCGCCTCCAAATTCCATAAACCAATAATTCCTCAACCAATACAAACTTCTCATTACAAAATAAACCCAAAAAGTTTAACAACTCTCCCCGGTCCATTTACCATCGACGACAGAGAGGGTTTTGAAGTAGACATCACAGCCGAGCGGATGCCAGATGATTCTTCCTCGCCGGCGGACGATCTCATCATCCCTCCTCGCCGAAGCCGCCCACCCGGATCCTCCTCTCCCTCCCGCCAGTTTTCGTTTCTCCTCGTCGCTATCCTCTCACGGCGGCAATCGGCAGTACGCCCACTATCGCTGGCCCAGCTCGTCCCAGATCCAAGCTGCTGAACCCCTGTCTCAAATAGGTGGTCACCAGATCTGCTCTTCGTCGTCATCCCAACGGTCGATTCGTCTGCTCCCACGGACAGACCCGCCCTTCAATCGCTAGAACCAGGTAGGTGCAGCGACGGTGGTTGCTAGAGATACAGGGATGGCAGAGAGGGGCCGGGGGCGGCGGTGGTTGCTGGAATTTTTGTTCTTCGCTGGCGCTGGTCCCATTTTGACGGGTGGGTGGGTTGGTCGGACGGGTTGGGTTGGGTCGGCTGGTTAAGTGGGTCTGATTTGTTTAATTTTTTTTTATTTTTTGGGATGACGTGTCAAGCTGACTGGACTTAATTGACGGTTTTTTGGATGGAACTGGACGGTTTTTTTTAAATTTACCATCAATATGGCGGATTAAAAAATATTGATAGATTCAATTTGAAGGTAGGGGAATGAGTTGAGGAGTCTCAGAGGGTTGAACGACATAGGATAGTTCGACGACCTGGAAAGATAATTGATGGGCAAGAGAACGACATGTGGCTGAATGAACTTGAACCCACTTTGTTACGAAATTTTCATATTTTCCATTGTAGACATACACATTAAAGAATGTGGATTTAAAAATTTTCGATAATCATAACATGATGTCACCATAAACTAAAGTGTAGAGTTAGAGCGGAGGCACGCAAATTGCTTAATCCCACAAAAGTCCATAGCTTTTTCTTATTTTTTATTTCCGTGTGATATCAAGTGAAGACAAGAGTTATACAAATAAAACTATCCAGGAACCCCCTACAAGCGACAGCCTACTGAAACCACCCAATAAAATCAAAAGACTCTCTCTCTACGAGAGACAATAGGAACTATGGGCAACACTATTGGTAGCTCTAGGAACTGCCATAAACTCTATACAAACTGACAAAGAGTCTAGGATCTGACGACACCCAGGTCAGCGTAAAAGTCGCAGCGCTTAAATTTCCAGGTTAGTGAGAGGCCAAAATGGTTGATCGCCAGCGGCGGATCCAGAACACAGAAGAGCACTGGGCCGCCTTTCATTAAAAAATTAGAACCGTAAAATAACATTATAGTTTTTTTACAATATAAATTGTACACGACGGTATTTTAATTTAGCGAATGCATCAATTATGGAGTCCACATCTATACCAATAGTATACATTATTTTAAATAAAATACTTTAGCAATCGGCTAGAAATTCCTCGTTCATTTTGTTGCGAAATCAGTTTTCATATGTTTCATTGTTGAAAAGGTTCTCCTTGTAGTAGTTGTTGATACGAGCAGCGTCAACACTAGACAAATCAATCGTGCATTGTGTGTCCATACCTATATCCACTAACTGCTTTAGTAAATTTTCAAGGGAACAAACCTCATATTTCTTATAGTCTTTTACGTTTTAGACTTTTACAATTTTAGATTTCATTGTTTTTTTTAGAAAAATAGTCTTTGGAGCTAGAATTTCTAGGCTAAATTTATAGTAGTGATTTGAATATGTTAATCTGAATCATGTTTCTAGTTACACACAATCTTATTATAAAATAACACTAGGCCGAATAACTAAAATCGAAAAATTCATAAATACTATACTAACTCCGAATCCAGAAGAGGGTTGGGCCGGGGCCCGGGGGGCCACCCCCTGGATCCGCCACTGTTGATCGCTCAGGCCGCTTGAGCCGCTCGACTCGTTTTCGACCCCTGTCCGTCTAATTAAAAAAACTTGGAAAATGAAAATTGGAAAATAAAAAATGTTAAGCGTGGAATGGGAATCGAGAACCCTGATTTGGAAACACTAAAATAGTCTCTCTCAGCTGAAACCTTCGTCACCCCCCTGTTGTGTCGATTTGGCGAGTTCATCTCCTCAGGGCTTAGGCCAGCGAACCCAGGTACAACAACTTTACCTCCTCTGTCGGCGAACCCAACGACGACTTCCCCTCATCTAGCCGTTGATTTGGCGAACACAAGTAAGCTCTGCCCACTCTTACAGCTGCTATCGTCGCCAGAAACAGCCAAACAGGGGTGGATGCTCCTAGCTGCTTCTGGCCATAATTGTAGTTGTCCTTGCTCTCCTCTCGTTGTCTCCAGAGAGAGATAAGATGTTAGCGAAAGAATAAGAATGAGTGGCGGGTGGTATTGTATAACGAAAATCGCTAAAGTGGTACATGAAAAATATAATTCATTTTAGCTATTAAATTGTTGAATTACAACCAATATGTGTTTTCTACTTATAACTTTATTAACTATAAGCTACCAATTGCTTTTTTAACGGTTCAATACTGATTGGACCACTACAATGTGAAATTGGCAATCCAAGACAGCCACCCATAACCAGTCTGTGAAAGTGGCCCCAAGGTTCATTATTGAACTCCATCTATATTTAGGTGCATCTGTATGTATGTACAAGTGGTCATTACTGGCCCCTGTCTGCACGCACCTACTTAAACTCGCTGGAAATGCAATTGCAAAATACAACTAGAATTCTTTCCGGCAAAGATTACTCAACAAACTCATTTGCCTGGCAAAGCACAAAGCATCAACTTACGGCTCGTTTATGATTTCATTGTACCGCGCATCTCTTTCCTCTCTTCCCAACCAACCATGAATCTTCTTCCAATTTACAAAATACACCACCGACTAGTACTCGTTCCCCCTCCTACTCCAAAAACTTTCATCAAACTTTTTGCATTGCATGCTCTCTGCTCAATCAATCTACTCAGGAGTGGGAAACCAAAAAGTAAAACAGACACCCCCAAAGAAAAAGATATTAAAAAGTAAGGCATACACACAAATTGTGTACAAGGAAAAGAATAGGTACTCACTCTCTCGGCTCCTCCTTCTCCTGCCCTGCCCCTACAGAGCAACCATTTTAGCGCCTTGCCTATCTGTCTTCAAGGGTTGATGTTGCATTCCCTCAAATATGGGTGCTCGTAGTCTACATACTTCGCCCAGTGCCCCCTGTACTTGGGCAATCCTATCTCCAGCCACGGCTTCATGTTGCCGTTATAGTGTATCACTGCCGCCCTCTCTATCTCCTTCTGATTCACGCTTGGGTTGTACCCCAGCCCCAGCACATGCCACGATCGCTCCAATGAGTAGGTTCGTTTCCAGAATGTAATCAAACCTGGTGGCAGCGTTCCCAACTTCCACAACGATCTGTCATGATTCTGCACATTCACAAGTCAATACAAATGAATGCAGGTCGATTGATAACACAAAATACACTAGTGTTGTCACTCACCAGCTTCTGCCACTTGTGATACACTTCAGTGATGTTTTGCCTTCTCCACTGATCCAAATCAAAGACGTTCATCCCGTATGCCCATCCACACGCATGCGGATCAAAGTTCTTAGAGATCAGAGGATTGGAGAAGTTGAGATACCGATCAAAACGATGGAAGCTCTCTCCACAAGTCTCCACTGCACCATTCACATTACCTCTCAAATCAAGGGACCAAAGAGCAGCAAGATCCTTCTGCACTACTATATCATCATCAACAAACAGCAGCTTGTTCAACTTTGGGAATATCTCTGGCAGGTAAAACCGCAGATGGTTCAAGATGGACAAGTACTTGGGATTCCGATACTTCAGATTCGAATCCGAGCTAGCTCGATGTGACCTAAAGTAGTAATCTATCATAGATGGAGATCCCAACTGCTTCAGAACAGGACTGTAACTTGCATTTAACCAAGTGAACTCCTCGATATTCTGAACTTGAACAGTTGCTTTGCCAGGTGGATTCACTAGAAACCACATCCTCATTGCAGCATAATTGAGCCTATCCGTAACAATGTGGAAAACATGCTTTGAAGGCTCCTGCAAACAACCCAAAAAATCTAATCAGGATCTACCATTCATGTTTTTTGTAATCTTCCTAGCATTGTAATTACTAACTGCAGGACAGAAACTTATTTCACCTTGGCATGTGTAATGGTAGAGTTCAGCACAACTGCAGCTGCCAAAACATTATCTGAGAATAAAGCATAATGATACAGCAGAGGATCTTCCAATTTCTCCTGATTTGGGAACTGTTGCTGAGAAGTGTTCAATGAATAATACTCAGTTGTCAGGCGCAAAGGAAAGCAGTGGAGACCCTTAGGGAGGGTTTTTGCAGTTAACTGAGTCAAGAACATGGTCTGCTTTTTATGCACACGGAGCTGCTCCTCCGTGGAGTGCAGCATAGCGCGGAGCTTTTTCACCCAAATAGCACAGTCATCTTGTATCTGCTTGCCTTTTGTTAGGGACTGCTCCATTGTCCTCAATTTATCATTTGCACTGCTTTAATGGATCAACTTTAATCAATTGAATACAACACTAACATAGAAGACCATCAAAACAATATAATGGATATCAGATATTAGAGATTAGAGTGATCATGTACTAGATTCTTGAAAATAAGCATTACTTTTTGGGCAGCTCTGAGTCTCTCGTTGCTTCGCCAAGGACACGTGCAACTTCCTTGATCCGTAATCTGAGCTCTCTCGTATAGTGTTGATTATTCTTTGTTGCAGGAAGTGACAGGTACACCTTTGCCCTAATTAGCTGGTCTCTTAATTGACGTACCCGAGCATCTGACATAGCATTTTGATCCGTCTGTTTACCCACTTTAGGTTTCAAGTGATCCTTTTCGCTAGCTTTGCCAGGTTTCACCCCTGGTTTTCGCTCAGGCTACCAAAAAAAACATCATAAAGAAAATAAGTTAACTCTACTGGTTAAACTCACACATTACATTCAACAGAAAGACTCATTGTTGTTACATAAACAGAAGTGTGAGAGACATTTTCCTGTTCTGCACTGAATCATGACTGTATGTGATACCAAATACTCAATCGAAAATATAGAAGGTCATATCAGAAGTGTTCTTGAATTCCTTCTTCAGTGGGAATAATTTCAGCTTCTATTGCAAGGAAATGAAACCGGGTGGGAGGAATACTTTACATACATTATTCAACTCAAAGTAACTGGGGATTTAAGTTTCTTTTGGGATTGTGAACACAATATTGGGACGCAGCAAAATAATTTGCATAAGTACCAACTACCAGGGGGAAACTCTTCTATCGGCCATCACAATCAAAGAATACACTTAACCACCATAACGTAAACACTACGAAAGGGGAGTGATCTCTTCCGTTTCCAAGGCATGAGAAGCTTCAAATGGCATACCGGATCTTGAGATGCACGTTGGGTAACAACGTTGGAAGCCAAGGATTTAGGATCCTTGGAGTTGGAGGCAGCATCCGTGCCATCACTCCTTGATTCCTGCTGAGCAATGGCACTATCAGTGACCCGTCTGATGACAGCATCTGTTTGAGATTGCACTTGTTCATCAGTCGCCGACAACACTCTAGATTTGTGCTCTCTCACAGCTTGAGATTGCGAATCTAAATCAAATGAGCCCAAAATAAAGGAATTAATTTCCAAATGGACCGACGACACCACTCTGGTGGAAAGTGGTTGCAAGACGAGGAATCACCTGCTCCTGCTGCTGCAATTGAATCTTGAATAATTCCATCATCGGATGACGACGCCACCTCTTCTTGGGTGGAGTTGGTGTTGGTGGTGTAAACAACCCCAATAGGGTCCTTAAAAACAGTGGACAACTCCTATAAAACGAATCAATGGCGGAAACTGAGGATATGAGATGGCCATACAAAGGCGAAAGGCTATAAGGCGGAAATACGAATCAATTGTACCTGAGGTAACACGTTGAGACGGCCAGAATCAGCTGGAAGAGTCTGGAGAAAAGAAAAGGAGCAGCAGAATATCAGGAACCTCTCCCGCGTCCTATCAATCATTCAATTCAACGAAAGCCGAAGAGAGAGAATGAAACTTACGAATGAAGTGACGTCTTCAAAGAAATCGATTCGAGCTGCAGAGAAAGAGGAAAGAAGATAACAAAGAATGAGCAAAGGGGGGGAGAATCGATCAAAGAAGAGAGGAAGTGAGAAAGGGAAGCTGACAGGAAGAAGGAGCGAAGGCGGCGAATCGGTCAGTGTAAAGAGCGATGGGAGCAATCACAGTGATGAAGAGCATCCCTATCACCACGTTCCGCAGATTCATTTTCTTTATTTTCCTTCTTCTCCCCGGCGATCTTTTTCGCTCTTTCCCCGGCTTCACGAATTCTCCAAATCGAAACCAAAACTAAACTTACAAAGGAAGAAATCAAAACCAAACGGGCCTCAAACTGAGATTCGTTTGTCTGCTACCCGTCGGTGCTGCGTTCCAGGCCAACAACAATCACTACCTCGCCGCAACAGAAACCGTGCACAGAAAGCAACCGCCGTCGCAGCCGCCGTCCATGGGGCGAGAGAGAAAGAGAATAATGGAGCTGCGATTCTATTACGCGTCGGAGCCTCGGAGGACGGAGGGTGAGAATAAGGTTTGTTATGATTGACTGATTTATCTTTATTATTATTTTAATAAAACTAAAAACAATAGGATAAACCTACAATGGAAACTAAAGAGAGAAGATATCGGACATCTAAAGGCTACTTCCCTTTGCTTTGATCGCAGAAGGGGGAAAGAAAAGATACGGCGATTCATAGTAAGGAAGGAAGCAGAGAATTGCCGCCGGAGGAAGGGAAGATGACGATGAACGGGTAAGAATTTGAGTGACAGAGAAGAAAACGTGAGACGAAGGAAGAGAAAAAGGGAAAGGCGCATCTTTAATTATGGAATTGTTAGACAGCAAAGCATAGTAGCACTCTGAAGGTTAGTTACTCTGAATCGCTATTCGTCGCCCTAAAATTTAAATTATTTCGCCCTAAATTGTACTAAATTGACATTTTTAACCCTAAAGCCAATTTCAACCGGTGCCCGTCACTTGAATTGCCGTCAAGCCCACCAACCGTCCGACCACCGCTGTCGTTCCCACAATCCGGCACCGTTCCCATTCCCCACCCGCCGACCTTCTCTCATTCGCCGCCGACCCATTGCTATTCTCCAATCCAGTCAATTTTTTTATATTCCCCTCGCTTTTCAACAATTGAAACAAGGGAGGTTGCCGAACAAGCTTTCCCTCAATCAACCTTTTATTAGAGATAATTTATTTATCTCTAATACCTTTCTATCCATTTCTTCCCCCAAAAAACATGGCAGCCGCCGGTACAGTCTCCACGGTACTGGACCAGTTGGGAACAATCCTTTTCGAGGAACTGAAACAACGGGGGAGGCCGGTGATTGAAGCTTTCGCGCCTTGCTCAACGATGCCGAGCAGCGGCAGCTGACGGAGGAAATAGTGAAGTTATGGATCCACCGCCTGAACGATGTGTCGTTTGAGATCGACGACGTGCTGGACGAGTGGAGCACCGTGATTCTTCAGCGTCGAGTTGAAGCCAACCAGCCGGATCTCAATTGATTGGAGTTGTAGCTCTGGTGGGTCTCCGATTTCGTCGAGAAAGAATGCCCTTTCCTTACTTTCTCTTTCATTTCGTTCGACGATGTGGCGCTGAGACATGACATTGGTAGCAAGATTAAGGAGTTGAACGATAAACGACAGCGGTGGTCGGACGGTTGGTGGGCTGGACGACCATCCAAGTTACGAACACCGGTTGAAATTGGGCATTAGGGTTATAAATGTCAATTTAATACGATTTAGGGCGAAATAATTTAATTTTAGGGCGACGAACGGCGGGAATATCAGTTCGGTCCTTCAACTTTTCTGTTTGTCTGTTTGATATGCGAACTTTTTTTTTGTTCGTAAAGTGATCAATGGTACTCGTTATGAATTTATGATGAAGCATTGTGAGGGAAATTACCAAGCGTATCACTACTACTAAACAACTTTCTCAAAAAAAAAAAAAACTACTACTAAACAACTAAATTATAGCTCGGCCCGTTGGCCGGAGCCCGGAGGTAGTCCTACTCAAAATTTGATAAACTGTTTTAAACATAATGAAGGTGTCGGAAGATGTAATTACTGCGGACAACATATTGCAACCAACTAATTCGAGGCATAATCGTGATTGCAATTCTTTTTTTTTTTTGACAAAAGATAATCAATAGATTGAAGTAAATAGATCAGTACATCCTGGAATACAGCCAGGCCTGGAAATCAAAAGATCGACATGCAGTCGGGAACAATGACAGTGCCTGTCTAGCTACCAAATGAGCTACCCTATTGTTTCTTCGACCTACAAATCGCACAGAGAACCCTACATTAGACGCAAATGAATTGCCTATCTCTTCCAAAATTGCCCCGATCTGATTGTCCCGAACATCCTTCCGGAGAATCTTCTCAATAACCACCAGGGAATCACCTTCAAACCTCATGATAGTGAATCCATTCGCTAAACACCATCCAATCGCCTCTCGGAGAACCAAAGCTTCCACCATCATTGGATCAGTCAGAAACGGGAGGTGAATCCCCTTGGCAAGGATGACTTCCCTGTCCGAGTTAAGGATAACCATCCCCCCCGCCGCATGAGACCCCATTCGCACTGCCCCATCCCACATACAAATTGCCGTTTCAGGTCCCTCAGCCAAAAGCGCAGGGGTCATGGGGAGAGCACGAGGGCTAGACTGATCACGGGGTACACAAAGCCATTCCTGCACTTGCTGATGGAACTGGCGCATTAGGGCAGGGATCCCGAACTGTTTCCCTTCAAATACCACCCAGTTCCGGGAACGCCAAATCCGCCACAGAAGAGCCACTATAGACATTACCAGAGCAGGGTCACGCACTACCGCCAGCAACCTCCTAAGGAAGAGCGGGAATGAATGACGAGGCAACGCAGCACCCAGGTGGGATAGCCCAGAGTGGTCCCACAAAGCCCGAGCCACCGGACAATCTAAGAACAAATGCTCCAGAGTTTCCGATTCCGCCCAGCACACCGGACATCGAGGCAAAACATCCACCTTCTTCCCACGCAACGCTTCCGTAGTAGGAAGAATACGATGAAAGATTTGCCAACCAAACACCCTAAGCTTAGGCGGGATATCTGCCTCCCACAGCCTGACCCAACTAGGTTTATCCATCCAACTAACCGAGGCCCTCCAACGACCATTCTGCCTATCCAAATTTACCGCGACATAGTACGCAAACTTAACAGAGAAGACACCATCCGACGTTGGATGCCAAATCAATTTATCTGCAATACTCTGGCGCGGCAAAGGAATGGCCTTGATGGCTTTACAGGTAGCTGGATCAAACCACTGATTGAGTTTTTGATCGTTCCACCGCCCCTCCCCAGAGTGGATCACCTCCTCCACCTTCAAACCCTCCCCATCCGGGACCACACACGGGTTATAGATCGGAGGACAAGGATGAAGCTGGGGAACCCAACTAGAATTTAACATGGGAGCTTCCTGACCATTTCCAATTTGCCACCTCAACCCAGACTCCAACAATTGCCGGCCAAAGAGGATGCTTTGCCACCCCCAAGAAGGACGAGACCTAGCCTGAGCAGTAAGAAACGACCCATTGGGGAAATATTTACCTTTATACACCTGGGCAAGAAGGGACTGGGGTTCTTAAAGAATCCGCCAACCGATTTTAGCCAGCAAAGCTTGGTTGAACCACTCAAACCTGCGGAACCCCATTCCCCCTTCATGTTTACTTCTGCAAAGGTTCCTCCAAGAAACCCACCTGATCTTGATTCAACTAAAAACAAATTAAGAAAAAATGCATATGTTTCTTTAGTTTGCTTTGCATAGCAGGGAAGATCCCAAAAAGAATATAAAATCCAATGAAAGAAATTGACCAGCATGTAAGCCTTCAACGAGAGGAGATTAGGATGGTGATGAGGAGGTTAGCCGGGTGTCGAATCCGAGAGGAAGGTTTGGAGATCCCGCGATGGTTGGGCTTTTAGTTGGTCGGGGCACTATTTGAACTTGTTTACATTAGTAGAGTCTTTTACGTCCGCCTTAGGCAAACCAACAACACTCAAACTTTTCATGTTTACCCCTCTTTGCTCTAGCGTAACAATAGAGGTGGAGGATGAAGAGGTTAGTCGATTGTCGAGTCAGATGGAAACTTTTTTTTTTTTGGGTGAAAAGATGGGAAACTTTTAGTGGATTGTCGATTATCATATTTCATTTCTTGTTATGGAGAGACGGCGATGATTGAACGTTTAGTGGATCAGGGTACTTCTTGGGCATGTTTACATTAGTATCGCAATTTCCATTCGCAATCAGCACACCAACACCACTCAATCTTTCCATATTTACCCCTATTATAAAGACACATGTGCCCATATTCACTTCAAAGTTTTGTGTTAAAATATCATTGCTTAATGTAGTTATAAAAATTAAGTCAATGTTAAGAACACTACATCGCTTCTACACGTTCAATACTGCAATCGATATGCAATATTTGAACCAATGACATTTGGGTTGCGATTTTAAAATTATCCTCCTTTTATAAGATAAATAGAAAGTGAATTAATTATTAAACATGAATTAATATAATCAAAATATGAAAATAGAAGTATTAAACACCAAAATATATTTCAGGGAGAATTAGTGGGTAAGCTAACCATGATCGAAAAGTCCTACGATTTTTCAGATTTTAGCTTTTTGTACATTTTTTATATAAAATTATCAAACAAATTTGTTTAGTATAGTTGGTTATGTTTCTTGTCTTTGTTCGAAGATACCATAGTTCAAATCCTACTACTAATGTATTTTTCATGTTAATAAAAATAATAAATTATTGGGAAGACGAATCTATTCGTCCTACTTTTGCTCTAGAATTTAGGGCTGGTAATCGGTCGGTATTCGGTATACTGGATACCGATTATCCGGTATTCAATATACCAGAACTAGACAGTGTACCCACCGAATACCGATACCGAATGTTATCCGGTATACCGAATACTGAATAGTCGGTATCCGATATTAATGCCGGTATACCGAATACTGGTTATGAGGGCCTTTGTTGGTTTGACTATGAAAAAATTAGAAGAATAACACAGGCATAATCATCTAAGTTATCTAAGTCATCTAATTCACACAATCATCTAAGTCATCTAATTCACACAATCACACATGCTACTTCTCACAAACAATTAGATTCTCACATGCTAGATGCTACTATGCTGCTGCCTGCTGGTGAAGAGAAGAGAAGAGGGAGGAAGACAGGGGCTCTGGCTCAGGGTCAGGAATTTCGAGCTTAATCATACACTTCTCCTATCATCTTTTTTCAGTTCTCACCATCCTTCCTAACCTTACAACTGGTCTGTGACTTGTTTGCTTCTCCTTTTCTTTTCTTTCCTTTTTCTTATTTTATGGATTTCATCATCTACATTCACTTCCGTTTCTCTTCCCATGTACAGATACAAGAATGACTAAAGATTGACAAAGACTATGACTAGCATGGATCTTGCATATGTGGTGTAAAAAAAAACTCTTATACCTCAAACATGTCATGTATGTTTCCAACTCATCAGTACATCACTACCCTGAGGAGCCCCGACTGGGGTCCGGAGTAGTCGAGGCCCTCCTCTTCAAGCAGATACCGCTGTACAGCAATCGAAAGTCGTGCAGGGGTTCGAGCGCCTCTGGTATGATGCCCTGTTCCAACGCATATATAAAACCTGCACCACACGTTTTACTTTTTTTTTTTATAATCGGTATTATCGGTATACCGGTATACCGTCGGTAACTACCGACTCTTATCCGGTACTACCGAATGTAAAATCACACGCCCGAATACTGAATACCGACGGTATCCGGTACGGTATCCGGTATACCGGATACCGGTTTACCGATTACCACCCCTACTCTAGATGCAAAGATTTTGAAATGAGGAAGCACATTTCCCATTTCACTATTACATTAGGTGTAGATCTGCACCTTGCCTAAAACAATATCACAACGTAGTAGTTTCATACGTGACCATGACAAAATGTAACACTCGAAATCGAAGTCATGAAGAAATAAACTAAATGATCACTAACTAGAATAGAAGAGATATAAGAGTGTGGTAGTAATTAACCCTTTTTATTTGTTCTTATGCATGGAACGCCTGGCCCATAGAATTGAAAGAGCTATTGTTGGGAAACTTTGAGAACCCCTATAGGTTTCTAAGGATGGTCCAAAGCTCTATCATCATTCTTTGCTGACAACCTCATTCTTTTTGCAGAAGCTGAGGGGAGATAAAATTGATGTCATCAAAGCCTGCTTGGAAGACTTCTGCTCTAATTCGGGTCAATGAGTATATCTCAACAAATCGCCCATATAGGTCTCCCCCAACATTCATAGAAATAGAGTTCAAATCCTTAGTCACAGGGCCGGTATTCCCCTCACGGCTGATTTGGGGAAATACTTAGGCCTAAACACTATTAATGGTCGGATAACCAAGCTTAGGTACAAAAAGCTACTTCTTAATATAAAAAAGTTAGATACTTGGAAAACAAGACACCTACCACTTGAAGCTCGCATCACCCTAGTAAGATCGATCTCTTCTTCTATGTCAATTTACCTCATGTTCGAAAGCTTTGTCTGCTATGGTTTGCAAGTCCCTTGATAATTGCGACAAACGGTTCATTTGGAAGAAGTTGACAAAAGCAAATTCCATCCTATGGTCTGGGAACAACTTTCTCTACCTCGCCTGTAGGGGGTGCAGAAGTGCGTCCAACAAGACCAGCTAACCTCACAATGTTGGCCAAGGGGGATTGGAAGATTGTCACTTATGAACAATCTCTTTGGACGCAAGTGGTTGGAAAAAAATATGGGTCAGCAAGGAAAGGCAATGACATCATTCAAAAATCTAAAGGAAGTTCTTTTACCTGGCGGAGTTTTACTCAACCTACCAATGTCTCTGAACGGTAAAACACTAAATTTTGGCTCGACATTTGGCTGTTATAGGTACCTCTGTTGGACAGTGCGATAGGCGAGATCCCTATCAAGGAGAAGGACCGGCCTGTTGCAGGCTACTGAGACCCTAACTCTGGAAATTAAAAAAATCGAGACCTTACTGCCAACAGACATCACCATCAACATAAAAATGAAACTTATTGATCCATTTTCGATCGATGAAGACCAACCTCTCTGGAATCTGTCTTCCAACGCTTTTCGTGTTATTTCTCCCCAGCAGGCCCCTAGAACCCCTGCTTTAATTTCTAGAAGCAAATCTGGCGCCTCAAAGTCCTAGAGACTTGAGTGTTTGTTTGAATGGCGAGCAAGGGGAGGCTCTCCACCAACCAAACCAGGGAGTTCAGACACCTCGTGGAGAATCATACTTGCCCAAACTATCATAATTCAATTGAGACATACTTACATTGCCTCCGAGATTGTGATGTTGCAAGAGCGGTCTGGACAAAGGTGGTGCCACTCCACCGTCAACCCCATTTCTTTGCCGGTCACTATGAAGATTGGCTCTCCAATAACCTTGGTAATGATACTCGAGGAGATTGGTTTGGGGAATGGGCTCAATTTTTTTCCTTGGTTCTTTGGTACATATGGAAGAACCGGAATGAGTGGATCTTTCAAGGATAATGCTATCCCCATCAACTCTCTATAATTATATCATCATCAAGGCAAGCGAGTGGGTCAATGCATGGGAGTCTTCGACTACTACATTGGAGACAACAACCCCTTACAATCGCATACAACTGATCGAATGATCGCCCTCACCGGTGTGATGGCTCAAACTGAATACATATGGAGCTACCACAGGGATCTCTCGGTATATCTTCTACTTGCAGGATCATCCGTGACCACAAATGGAGATTGGGCTGGCGGCTTTTGTAGCAATCTTGGGAATGGCACGACTATGGAGGCTTGACTTTGGGGTTTATATCAAGGAATGGAACTCGCTAGAGCAAGAACATTCAATTTCTCATGGTGGAATCAGACTCTAACTTGGCGATTTATTTGATCTTGAAGAGAATTGATTTGGCTCACCCTGATCCTCAGACGACATTTGAATCGCAGTTAAGTAGTTCGTCTCGCTCATACGTACCGCAAGGGGAATAGAGTCACAAACTGACTCTCAAAGTACGGTCTCGTCTATCTTGTCAGGTCGTATGAGCTTATGAACCCAACAGATTTAATCTAGATAATTACAGAGGGTATGATAGGAGTAAGCCACTCAAGATTGGTCATTCAAGTACCTATTGTTAGTAGCTAGCTATTTCTTTCCCTCGGCTTGTCTAGTTCTTGCTCGGCCCTCTTTGTGCAGCTTGTTTCCTCAGGTTACTGAGTTGGCCTGCTTATTGTTTCTTTGTTCCTGGCCCAGGGCCTCCCTTCTATAAAATAAAATAAAATAATAGCTACAATAATTTGTATTCTGTCTAATTACCAATTGCAATTAAAGTAGATAGATAGTCTTCTATCTATCTATCTATCTTCTATCTATACATAATATTATGGCAATTCAAAAGTAATTGCTTGCCACCTAAGCACTTGAAGAGTTCACAAATTGCCAAGGTGAATTTTTTTAAAAAAAAAAATAGTTATTGATATATTAATAGAGCTATCTCTCTTCATTTAATATTTCATTTTTTTATCCATAATTTTTCTGCATTATGTCAATATAGTGATATACACAATAATAAATTATGTATGAAGAGTGATATATATTGCATTTGCTATTTTTAAAATTTTTTATATTCATTTTTCTTTTTCCCAATAAATCTTTTATGTTTTTGTTTTTGCATTGTATCGATGTACGCAACAATAGACTAATGTCTTTGAGTCACACATATAAATTTTTTTAACCCATAAATATCTGATTATAGATTACTAAGTAAATTTTTTACTCATTTTTACTAAAATTTAAAAATATGTTACATTTTGATGAACAATTTATATAAACACTCATACATAATAATATTTTATAACGACAAAATAACGATGAACACTACCTATCCTATCCAGATTAATTCACATACTCCAATCAATTTAATCCAACTCTCTACAGCCAGGATATCACGAATGTGCTAGCTATCCCTGTCGGGAATTACTACGTACTAAACAATTAAATCAAATCCTACTGTCGTAGCTCAATGACCTAATTATTTAGCTTGAAGATCGATATCCTATTTAAGACCGCATAGCACCTTATTTAATCCACTGTCGCTTCGATAAGTTACTATGTCACATGAAATAGGTTCAGTTAATAGGGTTTCACTGTCGCTAATAACCTAATTAACTACAAATCGTTGTATTGGTGGCCAGACAACACAAAGCATTAAGAAATTTCATGCAATAGAGATTGGAAGAAAAGAATCATGAATCAATCCATCAAATCAAGAACTAGCTACATCCTATGGTGTTTCCCCCAGAAATTGGGGTTTAGTTCATGACGAAATTAAGATAAATCGATAGGGTTTTGTTCATCATGTTCTAAATCAACAATACACAACTAGTTCAATTTAGAAAATCAAACCAACTAATCGCTCTCGTTGAACTCAGCTCTAGCCTTGAAAAAACTCAATCGCCGATGGAAATCGACTGATTGCCTGCTGCCCTGCTGCGCCGCTTCCTTTCTTTCTCCACAAGAAATTCGCCCCCCTCTCAGCTGCTGCGCGCGCCTTCCTTCTCCAAAAGAATTATCCCTCCGCCCAGAATTCTCCTTCCAATATTAATTCGCCTCCCTGTCTCTTTTGTTCCGTCCAAAACAAACCCTTCAATCATTGCCTTCTGCCTTTTCCGGTCCAATAAGAAATCCCCTTCATCAATTAATTTCGTGGCCCAAGCTTTATTCCCCCCCTGGCCGCTCCAATTCCCTCTCAGCACAACCAAAAAGCCTCAATTAATTCCAAGCCCATAGACTTTGCCGAGCTGCTAATTCAAAGTCCCATCAATTTGGGCTTTGACCCGATTACTTGTTGTGCACTCGCTTCTTTTCTTACTTTCTCCACCTGTAACATATCAAACTCATGGCACTAGGCAATAATGGTTTTTCAACCATCTACGGGTTAGCGAGCCCTAAATTAGCACCAATTGGCTAAAACATACCACAGATAATCACATAAAGTCCAAAAATTCAATATGTTAAAGCCGATTATCAGATGAAAAGAGAGAAAACAAGAAACGTTTGAATAAAAACTTGAACAAGCAATAATAGCCATTTCTTAAAAAAAAAACCCATTATTCATTCTGATTAAGTGAAAACATATGAATCACATGTGCAATAATTTACAATGTATCAAAAGTTCAAATTACTAATATTTTTCTCTAGAAATTTAAGCAAACTCTATTGAAGTCTTACGTCATGTGTTAAGAAATTTAATTTTCACACTTGGAGTTATTAATTGTCATGGATTATAAATCAAAGTTTTCAAAATGACTTCGATATGATTGTTGACGAATTGGACTTCATAACTTAGGATGCAACACGAGATATATTGAAAAATGAGTTAGATGAATGTTTGTTAAGGAGGTACGTTAAACATCATGAATCACCAACGCCTGACCTGTGCATTAATCAAATAAAGGTTTAAAATTTTCGTTTAATATTTGAATGTCTTGATAGACAAAACTAAATTCGACGATTGTGGCAATGAATAAACATTACTGTGTTAGTTGAGATATGTAAACCAAAACCTTTATAGTTACAAGAGTCTAAATCGATGAGTGGGTTAAAATGAAGAATATTTAATAAGGATTAATTCAATAAGACAATTGTAGAAGTCATTTGGTTATATGTTTGTGAGCAAGTGATATACCAAAATTTTGTTGTAACAAAAACTTTTCCGATATCAAAGTCTCAAAATAAAATTATTTTAGTTTGTAAGAATAAGGAAGTTGTATTTACATTGAGTTGCCTTAGCCAAAAAAGTTGTTTTCGTATTCCAATTTCCACCCAACGAGCCAAGTTTAATGGTATTTATTAGAGCTGAAATTACAATAAAGTTTTTATATGTATATGTTTAGCTATTAACAATAGATGTTCCTACAATACATCACAGGATTCAAATGCATGTGAAATGTCACAATGTTTGTATGAACAAACACAATAGGTAGAGAAATTTTAGTGAATGCACATTCAAATATTTGGAAAATTATAGGTATTGTATTGAGATTTTAAAACGACATCTAGACAACAACCATGAGTTCAGGGTTGGTCCAAACTTCAAAAATTAGCAATTGATACGTATTGTATAAGATACTATATTTGAGTGTCTTGAAGACAAATTTTGTCATAAGATCCTATACATATACTTTATGAACATCCACAACGAAAATGAGCGAGATTAGAGAATTGAATTATATATAAATGGTACGATGTGTATCAAGTTTTAATTGAGATAAACTTAATTTATCCAATAATCAAGTATCTTTATTTAATATTTTGAACTATTATAAATTGGTCGAGAGTTCGTCCAAAATTGAGAATCACGAAATGGTATATGTTGTATAAGATAATAAATTTGAGAGTTTCGGATGACAAATCTTGATATACGATTTTAAATGGGATGTGATAAACTTTCACGATAAATTAGAGAATCAAAACATTATAAGCGAGTTTGCTAACTATAAAATATTAAAAAAATTTCAAAAATTTAAACATTTAAATAAGCTAATTAATATAATTTTTTCAGTCAACGGACCGAAAAAAAGCTAATTTCAATAAAGAAAAAAGTAGATAGATAGTTGCCGCCGTGTGATTCTTCTTACAATTGATGTTAATTCGGAAGTGTCCAATTTGGCATTAAAATTAAAGCAAGAGGTATCCATGTGGACGTCGACCAAATCGAGACGATGATGATGAAGAGTTTTGATGGATCCTATTTCTACCTCTCGTGTGACATTGTATATTATTATATATAATTTGTTGATTTACTCAGGTTTTAAACTCGGTTGAATTGATTGGTCCGGTTGAACAAGTGGATTGAGGGTTAATAGTTCAATTGTTTTTGTCTAATTTAGTTTGAATTTTGAATATATGAAAAAATGTATTTTAGTATTCATACATTTATAATGAGATCAAATATCATTTAACATGTGGGTAATAACATATAACATTACACCAAAATAATAATTTGTACTTGGTCCAATATATAATGAAATTTCAAACACACTCGTATATACATCATATAACCTTTAGATCGAGAACCTTGTAACACCCCGGTATTTTAGAGTTAGGTTCGACTTTAATGCATGATCGGTTGGATTGACGGTTAAGTACAAGAGTTACAACCGCCTTTATTACAACCCGGTATTTTATAGTAATAATAACTATTATTATTATTACTATAATTAAAAAAAGTTATATATACTAACCTAGAGGGCCGAGCGGCCCTCATTAATCCCAAACCCCCACCCTAATAACACCCCCCCACCCCCCCCAACCCCCCCACTCTCTGCAGCGAGAAGAAGAAGGAAAAGAGGAGGGCAGCGCCGCTCGCAGCCGATCCCGATCCCAATTCCGATTCCGATCCCGACCCCAATCCGAATCCCATCATTTTCGTGTTTCTAGGTAAGGATCACGAACCCCTTCGCGATTTCTAAACTCGATTTATCGATAGTCTAATCCGAAACTCGTATTTTTATTAGCGGTGACGTTGAGGGTTCGATCAACAAGGAGATCAACGTCCCGGGTCATCCAACCTAGGCCTAGGCACGTTCTAGAGGTAAGGGAACTCGATCCCTTTGAGTTAGATCGATTGATTTGGGATTTTTCGTGAGGGTAGAATTCTGGAGTTTTAGCAACAGGCTTTTAGTGACAGATTTTGATTGGTCACTAAAGCTGCTGGGAATTTTCAGAAATGATTTTTAGATGTTTTAAATTGTTTCGAGCCTCTCTGAAGGTTTTTTCTGAATATAAAATTTTTATAAATTGAACGACGTCTAGGAGATGATTGTAATTTAATTTAAGGATTTTTTAAGATGTATTGCTATTTTTAGAAATTGTTCAAATATTTGTTGTAATTAAATAAAAATCTTGCCGAGGAGATTTTAAGGGTTGGATAATTTTCCAGAGTATAGGTGCTCGTGATTGACATGGGAAAATTATTGTACAAAATTATAAGAAGGTTCAAATTAGGTGAAAAATTCTGCCAAGATAAAAATAATTAAGAAAAATGGTCGTTTTTTAAGGGATTAATTCTAGAAAATTTTAATGGGGGTTAAAGGACCCTTGGAATGAGGTTCAATACTGGAATTTGAGGATAGGATGTTCTAGTGATTCAAAAGGGGTTTTAAATCAAGAAAGGTCGTCTAAGAAAATGGATTCTTATTAATAGGTTTCCCCAAGATAATCCGGCTAAGGAGGGGTTTCTTCGAAGAAGGAATTGAGGAGTCATCTTTTTGAGGTGAGTGTAAAGGGGGTAGAATCTCTGTCGTAGGTCTTTTAGTTTATGCTTTTCGTTCAAGTTATTAATTAGTTAATTTTTGAGTAATGCGCGATATGTGTGTGACCGCCTGTAAGGGTGGAGGCACGCGTTGTGCTATGTATGAATGTATGGATGTATGATTGTATAGTTGGTTAATGGTAAGAGGAACCCCCGGGCGGTTGGGCCACTACTGGACGCGGTAGATGGTCAGGTCACTGCTGGACGGCGAGACGTAACGCAGCAGTTGATCGAGTATGTTGGGGTCACTACTGGACGGCGAGACGTAACGCAGTAGTTGATCGGGCATGGACTGGACGGCGAGACGTAACGTAGTGTCATTGCCTAGTTTGAGTATGCAACCGGACGGCGAGACGTAACGTGGTTGGCATACTAGGGTAGGGACACTAGACGGCGAGACGTAACGCGGTGGTCCCTTGTGTTGGTGTCTATGGATTAAGAATATAAGTAAGAAGAATTCTAGAGATAAGATAGGAGTAGAGATCTCTTATAGACTGTTTGATAGTAAAGTTTAAAGGATGAAAGTGAGAACGACTTTCATCTAAGGAAGACATTCCCCTATTAATGTGTTTAGTAAGGAGTTTGCCTAGGGCAAAGACCTTAGGAAGTAACGACGAGACTGACCCCTTCTCACTCACCAGGTTGAGGATAGTCTAGCAGAAGGGGATCACGAGAAGAAGCAGGGCGAGGCGAGCAGCAGTACCAGCGTCGACGGGATATCGGAAAGCTCGTGAGGAGTCAAGGTAGATTAGTTAATTATTTTGTTTCATGGTTATTAGTATAAACTGGAGATTCTGTGTTGAGTCGTTTTTAAGTGTTTGAGATTGAGGATTGTGCCCAAGTGTTGGGGCTTTTCGTGAAAAATTCTTAAATGATGTCAGATTGTTTATTTTAAAATGTGGTTTGGGTTGCTCCGGAGTAACCGGTTTTTGGTTTGAGTTATGATTTGATTTTTGAAAAGAGACGGGACGTGTCAAACCTTATTACGGATCAACCTCATATGTGTGGCACCCTTTTTCCTCACAGAATTTGGGTCAACCCAGAGTAAACATGCGAATTGACAACCTACTTTGTTGGTTCACCAAAGTATGGGCAAATTAAAGCGATACTTGACTAACTAAAACTCTTTTAAGAAAAAACTAATGGCTCTTCTTATGGTATACATCCACTACCTATTAGCTTTTGCTTTTCCATCCATGTGTTAAGGAGGGGTAGTTTGTAGCAATCAACGCCCGTATAAAATATTGTTTTTTAATCATGTTTAGAGAATGAAAATAATGATTTTATTTTGTATGGAGAATATTATCTAGAAATCCAAGTAGTCATTGTCCATAAGTGCAATTTACTCTCTCTTAGTCGTTGAAATTCATGTTCTTCTCATTCACAACCTCGTGTCCTCTTAGAAGTTAGATCTGTTTAGAAGTCGTATTCACGTAACAAAACTTATTATTTTATTTATACACATAGCTATTTTTGGAATGCGATGCCTCATTAGTCTTCGAGTCAAATTTATTCTCAGAAATCTTAAGTATAATGCTTTAATTGATGTTTGACTAAATAATTTTGATATGAACTTACTCATTATTATGTAAATCATCCTCCTCTCTCCCTTGTTCTATAGCTCATTCATCAACGACAACGAGTGCAAATGGGTACGATACTCTCCCACAACATTTTTGTTTCTTGCTACTTCTACAATTTTGTTTTATGAATTTCATTTTAGTAATTTTTCCCAGTGTTCAAGAAGACGCGATTAATCTCTTGCCTAGGTGCAATTAATAGCTGGTCAGGAGGAAATCGCACCGTCTAGCCCTGGGCGATTGATCTAGGCATGCTAAATGATTAATCTCCATGGAAAACGGCTAATTGGTGTCTAGGCACTCGGGCGCGTTTTCACTCTGGTGGGCGACGCCGAGAACAACTAATAAAGGGGGAAAGTGTAGCCTTTTTGTGAAAATCTCAAACCCTATTCTATTTCACATTTCCATTCGACCAGCTGCTCCCCCTCATCGACCAGCAGCGAGATCCCTCCTCATGGTTGGTGACTTGGAATGTTTGGAATTGTGGAAAAAGGTTGAATGTGTATATGAATGGATGAATAATGATATGGCGACTTGGGGTTTTTGTGGAATATGGCTTATCTATCATATTTTTTTCAACGTTTAATCTCGCCTAGGTAACGACTATTCGACCTGGGTGCTGGGCGGTGCCTCCTCGCCTAGTTAGCGCCTAACATCTTCTTAAACATTGATTTTTTCATACAACACATTTGCAGAATTATCTTCCACTCGAACTAGTCAATAGTCATACCTAGTATATAATAAATTAATAATACTAATAACAATAAGAATAATAATATTATAAAAAAGCAATAAGAATAATAATAAAGTAGAGAAGTTAATTGGGGTTGATTTCTTTGGTGTCATCACTTCTCTCTCTGGTATTCCCCTCCTGCCTTCTTTCTTCCTTGGCCTTATTCGTATTTTCTCCTTTTTGTCCAATTAAGCTTCCGTTTCCCGTTCCGTCTTCCCCAGATTATCATTTCATCAGCAATCATTTCATGTTTTGGGTTTCATTTCTTTGGTTGCCTGGCTTCTTTTCGGTTTCTAAATTCTAACTATCTACCTGTCTGCTTCACCATTTCTAGCAGAGTCCCCCTTTTTCTGCAAGGAAGAAGTTCCCCAAATTTCCCATCTCTCTCTCTCTGCACAATCGGAAAAAGAGCTGACATTTTTCAGTTATTCCCACCAAGCTTTGAGATCTAATACATCTTTTGCTCTGCTTCTACTGATTCTATTGCTCCTGCTGCTTCCGCTTCCGCTGCCGCCTGCCGCCGCCAATGGTGTCCGGTAAGTTGCTCTTCCTTCTTCTCCTCCTCCTCCTGCTGCTTCTGTACATTAGTATGGCAAAATTCATCTCGATCGTCATAGCTCTAGCTTCTTTTTTGGGTGGGCTATGTATATTTATATTATTTTCCTCTCAGCAGAAGCTTTCCCTACTTTGAGAATTCCAGTCTCTTGCTTGTCAAACTTAATTTCTGTCGTCCCTTATACTGGGTCTCCCCTGTTTCCATTGGCATAACCCTAATTGGATATCCCCCCTGGGTATTTGGCTGTTTTTTGGGTTCTCTCTATCTTTCTATCCCTTCCCAATTGAATTCCCCTCGATTAAGATTGCTTACTAGCTACTCCCCTTCATTTCCTTTCCTTACCATAATTGTTGTTGACCAATTCAGCTCTATTGCCGCTTAAAGTAAAGTAAAACACTTTCCTTTTCTGCATACAATCCTATTCTCAGTAGCCATGGTTGATCCCCGTATCTCCTCGATACATGCTAATCTTCTCTCCCTTGATTCTTCTTATCTGCCCAGCTGCTTCATGATCAGTCTAAGTTGGATGAATCCCCTAGTCTGATGCTCCACTAGGTCCCTTCACCTGCATCTCAGTCTCAAACTAGCAAAATTTGTGTTTATTCAGTGTAAGAGTTGAGGTGGAATTTGTTTCCAGTTACAACATTTGCACGAACCCTTCGTGTATGCTACGTCTGTGGATACTTTTTGATGAAGGTGATGTTAATTTTTATTAATAAAAGAACCAACCTAACAAGAGATAATAATCCATAGCTAAAAGGAAGAACAGGGGAAAACCGAAAGCAGAGACCAAAGTTTCAGGAGCCGTTGTTATCTGCAATTGTGGTGTACGTGCTTGTATGCACTCTCTCCATATAATTTTAGATGCTACTTGTTTGTCTCTTCTCGCCTAGGCTTAAAAATCTGGGTTGTGACTTGTGAATGCTATGAAGCATTTAAGGCTGAAAATTAGCTTGAGGGATAGACATGATCGCATAATCTTTGTTAGTTAACGAGACTGAGATGATTTCCTGTTTAGGTTGCTCAGTTGATGTGGATGTTGTGCATCCAATCTGAAGGCTTTATTTCAAAATAATGGAACTTGTATGCTAATTGGAAGTCCTCATGTGCTATGGATATAGACATATATCAATATACAATCTTCTCATGCTCTTGTAAAATCTAGGTGATGGCATCCTTCTCCGCCAGTTCCTTTTAAAGTAGAATTGGCCGCCATTGATGCCGCTTGGTGAAAAAAACAAAAAATTCGGAGGGAAAGATGGACGAAGAAAAGATCTATTATGATACATAAATGCATTCTCTAAGTGTCTTGACCCGCCAAATATCAATTAGAGTAGTGATTCCTCTTCGTAGCTTCATGGGTGGGTGTTCTCTGAACTACACCATATATAAAGTTGGATGCTAGGTCATGAAAAATTTCCCAACTTTTGCTTTCTGCTTCTAATCAAATATCTTGAATCTGGTTGCAGGTGACTTATGTGTTTTCGAGCCTAACTGTTGATCCAAGTCAAGGTTTGGTTCCTAAAAACACACTAGTTCATGGTCATATAGAGTGAGGTGTTTTTGTGCAATGGACCCCGTCAATGGTGGGAACAATATGAACAACCAGAGCCTTGCCTCTAAGCAGCGACTGCGCTGGACTCATGAACTTCATGAGCGTTTTGTTGATGCTGTAGCACAACTTGGTGGGCCAGATAGTATGTCCCTTCATCATTTATCTCTACAGGTCTTATCTTTTGGTTTTATTTTAGAACTTTCTCTTCGTATATTGTATGATCTTAGAAGCATACTCTGTACGACCTCATACAATACCTATGTTGCTTGGAGGTGTGAGAGTTTAGAAGGTTTTGTCTGCTTGTACCTTGCCTTACTGCAATAATTACTTACGTTAGGCGATTTCTCCAGGGGCTACTCCAAAAGGTGTTCTCAGGGTCATGGGTGTACAGGGATTAACTATATATCATGTCAAAAGTCATTTACAGGTATATGAATCTTGGTCAGACTTTTATTCTTATATCCTTTCTCTTATTTCCTGTTTCCCGAGGTAGGAGAGAGAAGGGAGAGGTTTGTCGTCATTATTTTCCTGATTTTCATTTTGGTCTTGAATCCCTTTTCTCCATCCAGAAATATCGTCTTGCCAAGTTCCTTCCAGACTCCTCTTCTGATGGTAAGTACCTTGTGCATATAGGCTCTTAATGGTTGTTTGTAAAACGAGCTCAGGTTCTGGTTCTCATGCAGACTTGTGTTTTGTGCTAGGGAAAAAAGGTGACAAGAAAGAAGCCGGCGAGATGCTTTCCAATTTAGATGGCTCATCGTAAGTGAAGTTGACCACCTTCGCTCTCCTTTTATGTCAGTTTCTGTGTTGATGCTCCCTTTTGTATGTTCTGGTATACCTATTAATTTCTTTGTTTAGCTGGAGATATGGTGTGAGACTGACTATGTTTTTTGTTTCTTTTTCAGTGGAATGCAAATCACAGAAGCTCTCAAGCTGCAGATGGAGGTCCAAAAGCGACTGCATGAACAACTCGAGGCAAGTTTCTTCCTCCCGGGACTCATATCTAGGTCACTGCTCTTGCGTCCCTCTTGTACTTTGTAACAATTTCTTATTTTTATTGTCTAACGCCATTATCTAAAAAAGTTTCTTCCTCCGCGCCCGAACACTATATATGATCATTATGGTTTATTTTCTGATGTGGTCAATATTTATTTATTGGGCACTTATATCACTCTACATGAGTAAAAATCTTGTTCCTTGCTTATGTATTGTGATTAGTTCATTTCATTATGCTCTAGTAGATTATGAAATATGCTATGTAGGACATTAGCGGGCAGAAAATTGGTCAGTTTTTGTGTGGAAATACATCCATTATAGAGCCAATTGCGTTTTGTTGTTATGAATCTCTCCATAAGGTGTGCCAAACAAAGGGGGAACCCTGGGATTTATAGGTCATTTTGTCTGCTGTCTTATCTTGATTCAAATAAGCTCTCTGCATCTCAACTAACTTCCAAACTTTGTTTGAAAAGCTTCAACTCTTACCCACAACGTGCTACATGCGTGTTTTCAACATCACAGGTGCAGCGGCAGCTGCAGTTACGTATCGAGGCACAAGGAAAGTACTTGAAAAAGATAATAGAAGAGCAGCAAAAGCTGAGTGGAGTACTTGCAGAGGGACAACCACCTGGCTCTGGGGGGATTCTCCCACCAGCTGACTTAGAATCCGACAAGACCGTTCCTACAACCCCTGTCCCAAGTGAGACCCCCCTCCAGGACAAGGCTACAAATGGCAAGATCTTTGCGATCAATGAACCCCTCCGACAACAGCATCACCACCAGGAGCCAATGACCCCTGATTCCCGTGATGACATGGGCTCTCCGGATGATGATAGTCCTACAGCTGAAAGGTCGTTGAAGAAGCAGCGTCTAGGCATGGGGCCAGGACAGTTTGGTAATGAACCGGATATGCCTTTCCCTCACCAGATACTGGAGTCTAGCTTGAACTCTCTAGCTCAGTCCCAGGCTCACCCTGTGTTTGCTACCAGTCGAGAGGCATTTGATCCTTCAAATGGGCTATCGATTGGGATGGACAGTCAAATGCAGAAGATTTCAGGAGGGGATCTCTAGCCCTTGGATGGTGGTTTCAGAATTATTTGAATTGGGGTCATTTTACTATCATCATCATGTATCTTTTATGTAATTTGGGGAAGAAAAAACATGGTTAATCAGGCTAGATAATGGAAGATTAATGTTAGACAAGACAGACAAACCGGTAGGTTTTAAGGAAAAAGCAGCAGGCTGTTTATTATATTGGTTTTTTCTTAATCTTTTTCTCTTTTCTTCTAAAATGCAGTAGATGCATGTCTTGTTTAATTCAGTGAGAAGTATTTATGAAGCTCGCTAGTTTATTGTGGACTAAACTGTTAATCAATAATGCCTTGATACTCTGATCGAGGAAATGCCTTCATTAACGTCAAAAGGGAAAACAGAATGACTACAAAATTCAACTGATGATGGTCCAATATGAGAATGAATGGCAGTATTGCATTTGTTGTACCAGTACAGACAGAATCAATAATATTTGCATCAATCAATCAATGCTTACAGTTACCCTCAGACTAGCAAAAGGATGGTGTTGAATTTGAAAGAGATTGAGGGATCATAAACACAAGTAATGGATATGGACAAGGTAACATAAATTGATAAAAGCAGTTGATCGACTCAGGAAGAACAATGTCTCTGATGATTTACTCTTCTTAGTATACAATGGCGTAGCCGTTTGCTCAAAGCTTCAAGCTTTTCAAGCTTCTCGCCCTTCTGCTTCTTCTTTGGAGATTTCTTCTTTTTCTTCTGCTCTTTCTGAGGAACTGCAGCTGCAGCAGCACCAGCTGCTGCTGGCTTCCTTCGTATCTTCCGTAGAGGCGTGGCAAAGGCCCTCAGACTCAGAGTACTCTACATGAAATGTAAAATATATCAGCAAGAGGAAAAATTAATGTGTTAACTTAAAAATAACATTCATCCCTTCAACAAGTTCCTCCTCCAATTGTGATTTATGGGTAGAATCTATAGGCATAGCAAAAACTACTTGGGGCAGAGCATGGGAACAAGAAAGAAGGGGAGCACCTCATGACTGCTATCTATAGTTCTACGTTTGGCTGAAGATTCTTCGTCATCACTACCACCAAGAGATGAGCATCTACCCCAACTCTCCCGATTTGAACTAGTATAGGAGCAGCATTCTTCGCTCTGATCAGTTGCCTTATCCTGTAAACATCATACATACATACATCAACACCAGCTATCACAAAAACTTATGTAGAGTGTCATTCAAACTAAACTACAATTTAGGTAAACACCTGCAAATACAATGGGTCTATGCAGCTGGCCTTATCATTTGTTTTGTCGACTACCGGTGTCTGCATTATTAACAAAAACACAAATTGCAACTTCAGATGTATACAGAAGGTAGACTCTGAAGGGGGGATTTCTGCCATATGTGGAGGAATGTGCGTACTGTTGAATTAGTGGCAGGAGCGACTTCAGAAAGAAGTTCAGAAACAGGTTTTGATGGTGGGATGTTGGCAGGAGCAGAAGATGAACTTGCAGCATCAGTACAGGCAGAACGAATGCCTGTGATTATCTCATACAGAAGACTCTAAGAAACAAAGAAGGAAATATCTGTAAGGTTCCATGTTTTGTAATCAACTATTAAATTCACAATATTGGGAGTAAATTCCCCAAGAGCTTTACAAGAATACTACCTCATCCAGGCCAGCACCAAGCTTCAAGTCTGAGAGATTATAATATTTCTCAAGCTTCCTTGAGGAAGTAGTAATTTGAGGAGGATGAAGGATATTGAAGAAGAATATGGAAACCGAATCATAATAGAACTGTGGCCGTGAGGAATTGTGATCACCATTGAACTTTATCATATTTTTGTCACCCTGTTCAAAACCACAAATTGGTCAGCCCTTCCAAATAAGTTGATAAGTAGAGAAATTAAGAACTGTTTGGAATAATGAGATCATTACAGCAAACGACTTGAAGATTATGTCAGAATGATGGGACTGTATGAATTTGTCATCACTGGCATGACCAAATAAAGCAGGAATGAATGTTTTAGGAGCAACCTGAGAGCAAAGATGAAAAAATGTTACCATCTAAATGAACTTAAGAACAGGTGGTCAAATTCAGCTCTGAATCACCAATACAGATACACCAGGAAACTATTGCGAGTGAATCCTTGCTTAAGTTGATCAAGCAATGGACACTATCATACTTTTACCATATTCTTAGATAGTTTCCATAGGTCATCTCTCTATAATCAATGCCCAATAAAAAAATGTGTGGGTGTGTTAGTATAAGTTTTTAGAACAAATACACCAAACCTTTAGAGTATTGAGATCCATAATGTCAAATTTTGCTTTCTTCTGAATCACCCTCCGCATGTATTGCACTGCCATCTTAACCTGATGCAAAGCCAACCAAAGCAAAAATATAAGACAGCTTTTCTCAAGGGAAATTAGTGAAATGAAGAATAGCTAGCTAAGTATAGAAACTTGCAGTTCAAGGATAGATATGCATGCTAATATAGATATGGTAGCTACTATTAATACATTTCCCGAACTAATAAACTGCAATCGATCTTTGGAAATGTGAATAACAATACAGTTGGTCATAAAACATAAATACAGGCGAACACAATTTATCTTAGACCAAATAGATCATTGTAAGTGTATGACGGATCCAACAACATCATTGGACAATCACTACAAGAGCACAGAAAAAGAGAAACCAGCAGCAGGAGCATCACAGGAAGAGAATTACGGTGAACTTTGGAAGCCGAATTTTATAGACATCCACGAGTTCCATCATTAGATCAAATAAATTCGAAAAGGCACTGTCCAGCACCATTCCAGCTATTGATGGGTCTTCTGCTCCATAAAGCATGCTGCACCAGATAGCAGAAATTAGTTCCATGAGTTCCAGAGAAATCCAATAGTCTGAACACGTTTAGCAAGTAGAAAGCAAGTCTGACAGATATAAACAACACTACATGAAGCATACATGTACTATATCTGACTAAACCAGTACCTGCATAACAAAAAGAAAACTTGAGAAAAGAAAAACAATACAGAAGGAATCTAGACACAAAACACACCTTGTAACTGCACCCATCGATCGACCCCAAAGACCAATGCATGATATTTTCTTATTGCTTCTTAGATGAGAAACTACAACTTTCAGATCATCTTTCTGACAGAAAAGAGAACAAAAATCTGTTAGCAAGACGATGGAAGTTAACAACCCTTTTCCAGAGCTGGCTATACTAAAAAGACTGACCTCGTGCCAACCAAGGCTAACATAGTCGCCATCAGACAAGCCGGAGCCGGAGAAGTCCAAAGTGAAAACAGTAATATTTGAAGGGAGAAGAATGACAGCAGCCTCATTTGCGTCTGCCCTACATCCACTGCATAATCATTCATGATGATAAACCAGGCATCATCATGCTCAAATGTTCTCTAAAAGCATCTCGCTTCTCAGTTAAGCTCGACACAAATAGAAAATGTTTGCGGAGCCAAGGAGAAATGTCTAACCTGTTTCCATGGCAGTAAATAACACAAGGAAGGGGAGTATCATCAGGAAAAGGTGATGGCACATAATGGCTACACCGTAAAGTATGACCCCTTGCATTGGTAAGCTGCAGACGTTGGCAATGTGTAAGCGAGAATGCCAAGAAAGAATGCCATGATAAGAAGAGAAGTGAATTGATGGTGAAGTAGTAGTGAGTGTGGAAATCGATGTCCATACTTGCCTCCAAGTCTTGCCGTTTGTAGGCTTTGCCAGCAAGAGTAAAATCTTTTTCCCATAAATATTGATCTGGGTTATAATCCGCCCTTTGGCAACCAAAAATTCCAACAACACAGAGAAGGAACCCTCAGTATAGACAGCCAGCCACGACTAAAAATAATGATGAGAGGGGAAGGTGAGAGAACATACCTGGGAGGGCGTATGACAAAATTGATGAACTGTTCAATCATTTAAAAACAAAATTGTTCTCCCCCAAGCTTTGTGGAACTAACTTGGCAGAATTCAAAGCATCTCACTATGACGAGAAAGCATGGGGGCAAAGCGCAAGACGATAGGATTGCTTTTCAAATCATTCCCTGTGCTTCAAATGAAAGCCTTGGCAGCGAAGTATAATGGCAATCATTCCCTATGCTTCAAATGAAAGCCTTGGCAGCGAGGTAGAATGGCATCGCATAAAACCAATGTAAATTAGCAGTAGTTGAACTTCCAGAAGTGGGGCTTTCTTTTCCCGTTAGTCTGCTTGCTTGGTTTGTTACCTGTATGAGTAAAGGGGGGAAAGATTGTGAGTGAAGGGCATAGAAGACAAATTAGGAAGCATAATTCACAGATCTCGAAACTTGAAGGAAGAAGAAAGCACAAACTGAAGCTCCCGCGGAAGCTGGTAGGGAGAGAGAGAAGCGGTCAAGCAGCGAATAACAAGGAAAATTATCGCGGGAACAGTTGAAACCTAAGGCAGGAACTTTAAATTAAGGAGATAAAAGGGAAAGTGAGAGTAGAAAATAAAAGAAAACGAGGGAAACGAACGAAGAACTGGTGAGGGATTGGGGGAATTGGGATTCGCAAATCTAGCTTTGTTAGCAGCAGCCTTGCAGTCTCCAAATGATGCTTGAGTAATAAATCAGCTTCCTTTCAGGGGACCTAGCCTATCAAACACATGAAATTGGTAGGAAGAGGCCCTCCCTCCCATTACCCAGCTAGAAGAGGAAATTGAAAAAAAAAACATGGGAAAAAGGGTTGCAGGCAATGTCTGGATGAATTGAAGCGGACGAAGGAGAGGAGGTGAAGAACAGGAAATGCAAAACAAAATGGCAAGAAAAAAGAAAGGGTGAGGCCTTTGCAGTAAGAGCGCGCGAGCCAGGAAGAGAGAACTTACGGAGTGAAATGGCGGAATGTGGAGATGTGGTTTGAAGAGAGAGAAGGGAGAGGGAGAAGCCAACAGAAGAGAAAGGCAGGAAACAGACAGCACAGCACAGGCTGCACAGCTACGGCTAGGGGTGTACATGGGTCGGGTGGTCCGGGTTTAGGCATTTTAATCACTCGACCCATGCACTACGGTTGGGAAAATATTAAACCCAAACCCACACAAAAAAATCTAAATCCTACGGTTTGTTTTTAATTGGGTTGGGTCGGGTTGGCGATATTTTTAAGTAAAAACCCAACCCAACACAAAATATGTAATTATTCTACATCATAAAAATATTTTATAACAAATTAAAAATTCAAACGAATAAACCGAGGCGAAAGGTATCAAAATTCACAAATATTGTTTGAATTTTAATAAAACTTGATTTACTTCAACTTATGTCTAACTTTTAAAATTGTACACAAGAAAAAAAAATACGTGAATCATAGCTATATTAAATATATGTCTAAACTTTAAGTCGAAGAATGCATTAGATTAGTGAGACTTTAAGATAAAAACATGGCAAAATATCTTAATTTTCTCATAAGTATGACTATATACGACATAAATATTTTTTTGGATACGAACTCATACCCATAATTGGAACACGGGTTGGTTCGGGTTCTACGGGTTGTGTAATCCAAAATCCAAACCCAACCCAAAAGAGGCGGGTTGTACAAAAGAAAACCCTCACCCAACCCAAAACCTTCGATTTAGCGATAAATACGGGTGGGTTGGGTCGGGTTGGACGAGTGGGTCGGTTTGCGAGTGTGTTTGTACACCCCTAGCTACGGCAGAACTCAAATGTTGGATTTTGATGAGAGATAAGTTGGATTAATAATCAAATACATGTTTGTTGAGATTGGCCTAAATTCCTAAGGTATGCAAATGTGGAGTTTTTTAGCTCAAAATTACTTGACTCCACTAATGATGAAATGATCATAGAATTCTTAACAAATAAAATAAAAATTATTAATAATAATAAGAAGGTAAGCTCATCATTTTACTCATAAATCCAAGATAGTAAAATCCATTTTGAAATCCAATAATTAACATGCAATTTTTAAAATTCAACATAATCTTTCAATCCCAAAATCCTTTATTTTTACAAACCCACAAGCAAACGACCTCTTAGGGTCGTTTGGATGCATCATTTTGGTTCTGTGATATTTCGAATCAAAATGTTGCATTATTTTGCTATGTGGTATTTCAGTTTTGAATGTGGTAATTAGTCCAATTCTCTTGTTTAGATAAACATTCAAATATTGTGGTATTTCACCACTTAAATAAGGAATGAAGTGGGATAAAAGTTGAGAAATGAGTTATTAGCGAGTGGTAGGTATTGCAAATAACTCACAATGAGTTATTTCAATTATCTGATAGACAAAATACCCATTACATTATATTGTTGTCACATGAGTTGTTTCGGCAAATATAACTCCGAATGAGTTATTTCGATCGAAATAACTCATCGAATTACCTCATCCAAACGACTCACTTCGGCCTAAATTCTCTTTTCGCACTTTAAAAAATTCATTATTATTTTTTCATGCTAATGTTAGTTCTTTCGTTTTATAACCTACATGATTTCTTTGGGTTAAAATGAAGGAAAATTTAGTTTTCTAAAAAAAGGCAAATTTATGGATTGTTTGTTTGATGGATTTAATGATGAATTTGGATCTATAACAGTTCAAATTTCATTATTTGATTCGTGTATTTAGGAGCAACAAATTGCTGCTGCTTTAATCCGTAACTCCATGATAATAGATTCATCCGTTAAACTAGTGACGTGGCAAATAAATAAATAAATAAAAATTAAATGTTTTGAATTTTCCATCTCATGAATACATTTAAGAAATAAAAAAAAAATCTTATGCTCATCCAAAACCCACCGGGAATAATGCCCCGCGGATGAGGACATCGCTGCTTGTTCCGGTGGAGTCGTCGCCCTCTCCATCGAGGCATATTTCTGTGGCTGGTTTAGGCGCTGCTGACGGTATTGGGTGGCATCTTATAGGTCGTTTGGAAGTTGCGATTGTTAAATAGATGTATTGTTGAGAATGCATGTATAATATTATACATGTATTGTCGAATTTGATACATTGTAGAATACAACGTTTGGTGTGTGTGATTGTGTATGTCGCATCAGCTAAAAGCTGAGACAAAACAATCTCAACTCAACTATCTCAACAATCACAAGTAAAAGTTGAGATATAACAATCACTCAAAATGAGTGATAGTTTCTGTCACATCACAGAAACAATCCATGTATTGTTTCTGTTGGGTATGGATTAATATGCCTACACGACTATAAATGGGCCCAAGCCCACCGCAAGGCGTCCTGGGCCCAAGCCCACTCAAGGAAGCCTAAACCCTATCACTATGTTTGGGAAAAGGGGTAAATGGGAGGAGGGTGCAAATGTGAGGGGTAAACACAGTTTCCAACACATTTGCACCTGTTTGGTTAATTTGGAACAGTAGGGGGGTGCAAAACGGGAGTGCAAATTTACTGTTTCGGCTTACCCCCCGAATTGGGGTGCAAGGGAAGGAAGGAAGAGAGGGGGAGGGGGGATTATGGAATTTTATTTTTCTAATTGTGTTATATATAATTATATAATAATTAATATTATCAATTTCTTCTTTTTATAAAATCATTAATGTAAACATTATTCGGGGTTGACCATTTGACTCTGGAAACAAGTTTATCAATGTTCGTCAAGTCAAATCTAGATATCTTGGTTGAAATGAATTTGCATTGAAAATTAGAGATACGGGGTGTTTGTGGAAAAGATAGAGAGAAATTGTTTGGTTAACTCAGTTTATTTGACTAAATAGTTAAAACTTACAAATTCGAACGTGTTTGACAATTTAAGATTAAATTAGACACGAAAACCCAATTAGGATGACCAGTTACGAGTTGAGCTTCGAGTTTTGAGATCGCTCGATCAATGGTTATTACAATTATTATAATTAATTATTATTTGAGCATTATTATATAATAACTATTTTTAGTAAAGTATATTTATTATTATATAGTAATATTTATTTTATTATTTTATGATAATATTTTAAAATCTTAAAATCTATTTTATAATCTTAAAATCTATTTTAAAATTTTAAAATCTACTTTAAAATAATATAATTACTTACTTTTCACTCTATTTGCACCCCCTACTTTTTCATCCAAACAACATTTACCCTCCACTTACAAACCCAGCAATTTGCACCCCCCAGCAATTTACCCCTCAACTTGCACCCCCTCTGCAATTTGCACCCCTTGTTGCCAAACAGAGCGTATATAAGGAGGCTAACCCTCCAAACTAGAGGGATCTTCTCTTTTCCCTTCCTCACTTTCCCCTAAGGTCTCTCACTCTACTTTATCTCTCTACATACCATACACTCTCCTATATCGTACTAACTTGGGCGTCGGAGCGTATCCCGGGGGCCGCCCCCCGCCTCACAGGTTCTTCCACTCCCGAGGAGATCAGACGAGGGAGTCCAGATCGGAGCCCCATAACCGCCTAAAACATTCTAGGCACAAACAATTTGGCGCCCACCGTGGGGCACGATTCTGGTATTCACTTCGTTTTGATTTTTGAGGGGGAAGAAATTGATCCTTCAACCAACAACCAATTGGCGGACAAAATCCGACCGAAGCCACCGGAGCAAGAGAAAAGCGCTCAGATCTACATTTTCTTGGACCAACCACACGAGGATTGGCGGCGACGACAACAAAAGAGGAATCGCGGAGAACAGAGTTCAAGAATTACAGAATGCTCAAATTGAAGTATTAGGCATGAGAGCTTTTTCTACTCTCTGAAGCTATCTCATGACAAGCGTCCCCAATCAACCACAACAAGCAGCCGAATCAAAAAGCCTCACATTCAGCTTGCAGATCCAGTAGTAACACTCCAAGGAAAAGAAGGGAGAAAACCAGCGGCGTCAGCCAAGCGTTCTCGTCCCCTGCCGCTGACCAAGAATGGAAGCTTCCATCAATCGCCGAACAAACTCGACGCCGGAGCTCCCCATAATCGCTGTCACCCGCAACAATTCCACTGGAGGATCGAAAGAAGGAAGGAGTCGCAGATTTCGACCTAGCAGCATAACTCGCCGCCGTCACTCGTCTCCGTCGGGACAACCTGTCTTCGTCACCGGTCGCCGCCCCGACTCTCGTTACTGCCAGCGTCGCCATCACCCCTACAACGTCCTCGGGAAATAAAGGAAGAGAAAAGGAGCACTAGAAGAAATAAATGGGTATGTTGTGATTTTTTTTTTTTCCAGATTCCGGCGCCGGAGGGTGATGAGATGCCGGAGCTCCAACTAGAGCAAGATGTGACCTCTGAGTCCCCATCACAAGTCATTGTCACCCTTCTCCAACTCTTCTCCAAACTTCTGCTTTCGGCTCTCTAAGAGCAGCCACTTTCCCCTTCTGTCAGAAAAGCAAACGGACGAGCTTCCCAAGATGGTTGAGGGAGTTCTCGGGAAAACATCTTAAAAAAAAAAAAAAGAGGAAGACGCCAACAAAGGAGGACGCACTCTCAAGCTTAAATCGAAGGAGGAGAACGCTGAGGAAGAAAAGTAGGGCAACCTATTTTCTAAAGCCCAAAGCCCATGGAACGCGGGCCCGCCTCCAACACTTCGCCATTAGCGCAGGTCAACCGCCAGTCTCTTCTGACCCGCGTCCACTTCCAAAGAACGCATTGGCCCATCTTGCTTTTAGAGTCAAGACACGCCCGCCTCCTTTGATGGAACGCCCCAACCATCACATGCTGACCAAGGCCTGTGCCCAATCACGAACTGAACGCGGCCCAACTGCCATCTCGTCCCCAACATGGCAGGAGCCCAAGACCCATCTCCGTATATGCGAGACCGCCAACCACTGCAGGCCCAAGACCGCCTCCAGCGCACTCTACCACGCAGGCCCATCTCCACGTTCATCAAAGATTGCCAAATCCAAAAATAGTCGAAGAAGCGCGTCCCCCAGACTTCGAACCGCTGACCTTTTTCTCGGAATCAGGACGCACAACCAACAGATCAGAAAGTATTTTTGTGCTTCAATATCGCAGCGGCCGCTATTTATTACCTTCCCACCGGCCCATTGGGGAACAGGCCGCCTCCAAAGCCCAATCCACTCTGCATCCATCAAGCTTCCGCGGCCCGCGACCCATGCCTTTCCTCACCACACAATGTAGCAAACCGCCATTAATGGCCTGCTTTGCAATGAAGAATGCATCGGACCAACGAAGCCCAAAAGCCCGCGGAACCGCCACAATCAGCCCAATCCAGGATTCAATTAAAAAAGAAAGGAAGCCAATGACCGCTGTGAGTCGAACACATGACCGCCTAGAAGGGATCTACAGCTTCAACCAGTAGACTACAACGCCATGTTGTACAGGTAAAGGAGGACCGCTCTATATGTATTTGTTTCAAGGTCCGCCGCTCTTTCAGTCAACGAATGTGACCCGCATTGGGTAGGATGGGCCGCCTCCATTCAGCCCATCTTCACAAAGCAGACCGCCTTGCGGTTCACCTCCAACTGTCCCGACTCTCTTGACGCTACCTGCCAAGGAATCAAGCTCGCTCAACACTGGGCCTGCCTTCCACTTCCAGCCCGCCAAGAAACTTGCAACCGCAAGTCTCTCTCTCCAGAGCACCTACCACGCAGCCCGCCTCGCAAAGTCAAGCTCGGCCCACAAATCGACCGCTCGGCCCAAGATTCAGCGGCCCACGCTCAGCCATCAAGCCTGATTAAAAATAATAAAGAAACCGCCTCCATCAAGGGTCGAACCAAAGACCTCGCTTGTGCATGCAAGCACTTCAACCAGTAGACTACAAAGCCACTTTGTTAATCAAGGACTCAACAGCCAGTATTTAACCGCTCGCCAACTTCTCTCAAGCTAAGTCAACTTTACAGAGATTGAGATATATCTAATGCAAAGCGGTTCATTACTATTATGCTAAGCGCTCTCTATACTATGTTCAAACATTAAATATATTGCACCCTAGACACTTGCATCTTTCTTGGATACTCAAAGACTCACGCCTCCGACCTCCGGGTTAGGCTCGAAGACTCCGCCTCCGAGCGGTCCTTCCTCTGGGGAATGACTCACGCCTCCGACCTCCGGGTTAGGCTCGAAGACCCCGCCCCTGAGCGATGCTCCCTCCGGGGAATGCTTCCCGCCTCCGAGCGGTCCTCCCTCTGGGGAATGACTCATGCCTCCGACCTCCGGGTTAGACTCAAGAACCGCCTCCGAACGGTCCTCCTTCCGGGGAATGCTTCCCGCCTCCGAGCGGTCCTCCCTCTGGGGAATGATTCATGCCTCCGACCTCCGGGTTAGACTCAAGAACCGCCTTCGAACGGTCCTCCCTCTGGGAAATGATTCACGCCTCCGAGCGGTCCTCCCTCCGGGGAATGCTTCCCGCCTCCGAGCGGTCCTCCCTCTGGGGAATGATTCACGCCTTCCGCCTCTGGGCAAGGCTCGAGCATCGCTCCGCGGGCTAGAGACGGAGTGTCTCCCATCAGAAAGAAGGCGGAGCGCCTCTCCTAGGATGAAAGACTAAGGCGCTTCTCAGGAAGCCAAGGGAGCAACGCGCTTCCCAGAAAGCGGAGGAGCGATGCACTTTCCAGGAAACCGAAGGCGCGATGCGCTTCCGAGGAAGCCAAGGGAGCAACGCGCTTCACAGGAAGCGAACGAGCGATACACTTCCCAGGAAACCGAGGAGCGATGCGCTTCACAGGAAGCCGAGGAACGATGCGCTTCTCAGGAAGCCGGGAACAAAGCACTTCCAAGGAAGCGGAGGAGTGATGCACTTCTCAAGAAGCCGAAGGCGCGAGGCGCTTCCCAGGAAGCCGAGGAGCGATACGCTTCTCAGGAAGCCGAGGGAGCGAGGCGCTTCCCAGGAAGCCGAAGGCGCGAGGCGCTTCCCAGGAAGCCGAAGGAGATACACACCCCAGGAAGTCGAAGAAGCACTAAGCTTTCCAGAAAGCTGAAAGACTAATGAGCTTCTCAAAAGGCGAAGTACTAAGCTTCCTTGAAGAGAACGGTCGATCTTGCCTCACACAAGACATTAACAAGACACATGAATTTCCGACAACATGGACGCGACATTGGTGAGACACGAAACAAGAGCGTCTTGAGTTAAAACTCTTAAGCCGTGGGGGCCACCCTACCTAGGTCGCAATTATGGTCTACTAGCGCTAACAACAATGGACTAGCGAAGGAACTCTTAACGACTTGAGAGCTTTAGTTCAAGACATCGAAAGATAAGCAAGGGACAGAAGAAATGATCACGCAACTCGCATAAGGGGCAAACCACATCATACGGATTCGCAAGTAAGGCAAATTAATACACGATTAACGCATTATATTACTTCTTCCATTCTTACAGAATACAAGAAGTAAAGGGGCAATTGTTGGGTATGGATTAATATGCCTACACGACTATAAATGGGCCCAAGCCCACCGCAAGGCGTCCTGGGCCCAAGCCCACTCAACGAAGCCTAAACCCTATATAAGGAGGCCTAACCCTCCAAACTAGAGGGATCTTCTCTTTTCCCTTCCTCACTTTCCCCTAAGGTCTCTCACTCTACTTTATCTCTCTACATACCATACACTCTCCTATATCGTACTAACTTGGGCGTCGGAGCGTATCCCGGGGGCCGCCCCCCCGCCTCACAGGTTCTTCCACTCCCGAGGAGATCAGACGAGGGAGTCCAGATCGGAGCCCCATAACCGCCTAAAACATTCTAGGCACAAACAGTTTCTGTCACATCAAAGAACCTGTTGGGGGTACCACTAAAGGGGCCCAAAGGAGGGCCCAAGAAAGAGCCCGTTCGGTTGAAAGTAGCCCTAGGCAGTTGTCCAGGAGAAGAAGCCCGCAAATGGGCTTGCAAAGCCCACTTCATACCAGGCAACCTAGGCATGGAGACAAAGCACTAAGGGCCCAAGAAGTCCAGGCTGGCAAGTGGTCCCCCGCCTGTAGGTGCCTGTCAATCGCCAGAAGCCTGACAAGGCGGTTGAGGCTTCTGACAAGAGTGCAGGTACGAAGCATTTAATGTGACGGTGACGTGGAGGAGATCCACCTCGAGCTCGGTGAGTATAAATAGGGGCAGTTGGTAGCATTTACACAGGTTGGACTCTCTCACTAAAACTCTTTCTCTACGCGCTTCTCTCTCTAGGAAGAGACAGACTTGATAGTCGGAGGGCTAACGGGCCTAGGCGCCCCCTCTGTGCTCGTGTGTGTAGGCAGGCGCCAGGCAGAGAATATGTGGACGTGTTGGCGAGGCGTCGAGGCCCAAACAATTGGCGCGCCAGATAGGGGCACCTAACAACGAAGTGATATGGGAGTTTGGAGCGCTTCTGTAGGGAGAGGCAGTTGTCAAGTGGCGCCACGGTGAAAAACCACCTGAAAAGGTTGAAGGTGGGCCTCATGTTGTACACCTGGCACTTCAGTTTAAACAACGTCACCACCACCATCATCGAGAGGGATAGGCGCCTCAACGGGCACTCGCACATCGTCAGAATCCCTTCCGGGATGGGGTCTATGGGAAATCGCAACCCAAACCTAAAGTATTCCTGGTAGACGCCCATCCATTTGGGTCCGCACACGCCAACCCTAGAGATGGGTGACGGAGGCGCGTACCACCAGTCACGCAGGAGCTGAAGACTGGTCACCGATTCATGAACTCGTGCCAGGGTCACCGTCGATTGATGCTCCGGGCCAGCCTCCTCGAACGATTGGCCGGTGGTATCGGTTGGCAAATGATCAGGGGGGAACGCCTTCTCCCAAGTGGTGATCTTATAGGAGCCATCGACAGGCATGTAACCCAAAGTGGAGGCGCTCTCTCCTCCCGCAGATTCAGGCGCCCTTTCTAAACCAAGAATGAACCAGACGTACAATTCCGAGTCGGAGTAAGAATCTCGCTCACGCCTAAAACCTACAAGAACAGTTAGAAGTCCACGACAGGGCGCTTACCAGAAACAGAGGGACGGTTGGAGGCGCCTGCACCAGAGTGTGAAGGGTGAGGGGGAGTGGCGCCCGCTTCATTGCCAGATGAACGATTGGGTGAGGCGCCAGCATAAGAGGCGCCCACATCGAAAGTTCGGTCTTGAAGAGAAGCCATTTGATTGCGAAGTGAGGAAGAAAAGGTCGACGGCGGAGAGCTTCGAAGTAGAGAGAGGGCAGAGCAAATCTAGAGAGAAGGCAGAGCGAAGATGTAGAGAGAGAGTGAATTGAGGAAAGTGACAAAGAGAAGGGAGGTTGGGGGTATTTAAAGGGAGGAAGGGCGTGTATCGAAGATCGCACCACCTGCCACGTGTCACCAAATCACAGGCGGACCTTTGAGCTTCCCTCATTCTTTGAATTTCAAATTTGGATTTTCAAATTTCGAAATTGGAATTTAAAAGAATATTTTAAAGTAAAGGCTCAAATTCCCGCCCGCGAGGGGGGCACTCTGGCGCCCCGATCAGGCGTCCATACCATAGCGCGACCCAGGTTATAACCACAAGGAAGGCGCCCGATAGCAGTCAGAATGTAGGGCGCCTTTCGAAAGGGGGGCATGAACCTAAGGAGATTCAGTCACACGAACGGGCGCCCGGGTAGGGATGGCAAAAATATCTGTAATCATGGATATCCGTCCGAACCCGGCCTAATCGGGTAGGGTAAAACCCGAACCCGAAGGACATTTAGTGGGTACGGGTAAAACCCGAACCCGAATATTGCGGGTAATGGGTGGGCATGGGTTTCTCAGTATCCAACCCGAACCCGCCCGATTATACACATACATATGTATTTTTTCTAGAAATAGTCATTATTTTTCTCTAACATATTTTATATTTAGCATATAAATATAATATTTTCATGAAATTGTGTTGTTTTAATTAATTTTCTTCATTCTAGTGAATTATTGTTACACTTTTCCTCTTGCGTAATGTGAGAATACGTGTGAATGTTAATATATTAGTGGGAGTTATGAAGAGAAATCATTACTCATGGATAACCGTGGATACCCGAAACCCGAACGGGTATGGGCATGGTTTTAATTTTCTACCCGTTTCATATGTGGGTATGGGTATGGGTAAAACCCGAACTACTTTGGGTAGGGTAATAGATATGCACTATCCGTCCCCGACCCGACCCATTGCCATCCCGACGCCCGGGCGCGGGACGGAGAGCTATACTTAGAGGGGTAACTGGCGCCCACTGAGAGGTAGTGACGCATGCTGACCAAGGGGTTAGTTAGGCACTCAAGTGAGGGGCCATGAGCGCCTAACTGGGGGGCAATTGTTGGGGTACCACTAAAGGGGCCCAAAGGAGGGCCCAAGAAAGAGCTCGTTCGGTTGAAAGTAGCCCTAGGCAGTTGTCCAGGAGAAGAAGCCCGCAAATGGGCCTGCAAAGCCCACTTCATACCAGGCAGCCTAGGCATGGAGACAAAGCACTAAGGGCCCAAGAAGTCCAGGCTGGCAAGTTGTCCCCCGCCTGTAGGTGCCTGTCAGTCGTCAGAAGCCTGACAATGCGGTTGAGGCTTCTGCAAGAGTGCAGGTACGAAGCATTTAATGTGACGGTGACGTGGAGGAGATTCACCTCGAGCTCGGTGAGTATAAATAGGAGAAGTTGGTAGCATTTACACAGGTTGGACTCTCTCACTAAAACTCTTTATCTACGCACTTCTCTCTCTAGAAAGAGATTGACTTGATCGTCGGAGGGCTAACGAGCCCACGCGCCCCCCTCCCCCCCCCCCCCCCCCCCCCCCCCCCCCCGCGCCCCCCTGTGCTCGTGTGTGTAGGCAGGCGCCAGGCAGAGAAGACGTGGGCGTGTTGGCGAGGCGTTGAGGCTCAAACAGAACCCAAGGCAAAATCTTCCTTAGCAAAGAAACACCATCATTCATGAAAGTAAAGGCGAGCCCGTGAAAGTTTTGGTTTCCGACTCAGGCCCACTACAATGGAAGCCGAGTGGAGAAACATGGTTTGTGGAAACGAGTGGGCCAAGGCAATTCCATCCCGGGCCAAGTCAATGAAGGAAAGCAATGGAATGTAATATGCTTGCGCCGGCAGAAATGGATGTCATAATTGAAATCCATAAAGCTAGAGGAAGACGAGAAGAACTCCAAATGGACTACCGTTAAAGTTGCCCTCTGCTTAGAAATTGTTCAATAATTAAGGAAGTTACGCTTGCTGCTAGTTATTTGCTACAAAATCACAAGACTACTACTTCTGGAAAAGAGGTAAGAGCTAAAGTCTTTTTTTAGTCATTAATAAATGACAAATTAGAATCTATGTCATGTGGATTTTATGCATGGAATTGAGAACCCTTGTGAATGCTAGACATGAAAACTAGAATTGATGCATAATAATGGTGACGTTGAGATGTGTTTTCCTCAATGATTAAATACAACTTCGTATACATATTTTAAAGAGTAATTTTAATTACATGAATGCATACTTTGAAGCATACACATAAACACATTATGTGGTAAATATGCTAGTAGAATGGGTTAATTGTCCATAGTGACGATATTCAAAGAAGTACTCTTGTCAGTACTACATGAACCACTAATGTTGCTATGAAACATTAAAGTTTCAAAAATAAGAGTAGGAAGCCGAACCAGATCCACACCAAATAGAATGATACCCTTCGTGGTAGCCAAAAGATCACTAGTCAATCCTCTAAGAATGACACTATGTTGTGCAAAACTAGGTCATATGACACGAAAGTGTATGAACAAGTCTAACATTGGTTCAAGTGTTAGCTTGATGGAAGAAGAGGATGGTTGGTTGTGATCACTTAGATAAGCAGAGGTTAACCTTGTTGGTAGCCCCTGAAGAATGGTGACTAGATATCGACACCTCAAAGTATTTGTTATAAACGAGCTATGCTCAAACCAGACATTGAGGGGTATTAAAGAAGAAAGTGGTGTTAGGCACTTCCCTCGCCATTATTGTTGATGGTTCTGGCAAAGTGGTAATGAATCTTACATCTGGAAAGTCGTCTTGCATGCT